GGTCTCGGCAGCGGGGGCAGGGGGGGCAAGTGGCGACCAGGGCCTGCATACTGCGCGTGGGGGGCAGCGAGAGGAAGCCCGATGTGTCTTGGGTGGAGATTATCCTTGCGAGGAAACTTGGCACCAGGATAAACAGCGCCGGGACGTGTTTCAGGACTTCGGGTCTGTGGACTCGATTCCAAATCAACCTAGAACAAAAGTAAGTCCTTTGAACTGCAGAAGATCGGAGTTCAGTGGCTCTCGACCTTCTCCCAACCCCAAGACATCTAGCGGCAGTGATTCTGGCATCTTTCTTACTCGTAATGGGCGTGCGGGCTGCTCAGTCATTCACTTTCTCACAATCACATAAAGGGATATCTTCTGCAGTTTAAAGAGATGACTCAGAAAAAAGACAACAGCAAACTGAATTTGCGTCATAAGAAAAGACGCTGTCATTTTATCAGCCTGTCTGATTTCTTGAAGGACATTACTTTTTAACTTCACACTTTCTTCCTTAGAAAGATAGCCATTTTTTCCCTTCTGATATAAATCGCTAAAATGTGTTCTTTCCTTCTGATTTTGTTTTCATACATCGGATCTATTTCCTCAGACATATCTGTATTAACAAAAAGATGTGTCTTAATTTAACCTTAAAATGAACAAACAAGTACTATATTACCTTTGTGTAACCAGTTTGGTTGTTAATTTTTGCCATGACGTATTGACATTCCTTTTGCAAAAAACACCTATTGCAGCCTACCAAGTGCATTGCACCTGGTGCCAGAGATTTAAAGCAACAAGAAGACCGAGCCCATCACAAGCCAAGAGCAGCCGTCTTAAACTATGGCCCTCATACCACTTACAATCCAACAGATTTTTGTAAATACATCTTCTTGAAACACAGCCATACTTATTTGTCTACAAACTGCTATGGCTGCTTTTGCACTACAATGATAGAGTTGCAGCGGCAACCAAGATCATAGGTTCACAAACTAAGCATATTTGCTCTCTGTCTCTTTACAGAAAAAGCTTGCTAACCCCTGACTTCGAATCCAGTAAAAGATATCAACATGTAAACACATAGTTAGAGGCTGTGTTAGAGGATGTGATATCACATACAGACATACAATAAGTATATATAAACATACAATTAGAAGTACTGTAAGAAGATGTGTCCTAGTACCTAAGAAAGCTAAAGAAGGCTTCACAGGGACTATGGCGTGTGAGCTGAATCTTACAAAAAGAGTTAGAATATTTCAGGGAGGGAAGGTCGTTTTAGGTAAAGACAACAGTTTATGCAAGGGTTGAGAGAAAGAAAAAGCTTGGCAGATTTGGGAAACCTAAGTTTTGCGTACACAGAGCTATAACATCACTTGTTTCTATGTTACTCTTCTCTTACTGACATCAGATGAAACTTAAGAGCCCAGTGACACAAGATCCTGAATGAATCAATACTGAATACAAACATTGTTTTTAATCCTGTAAATGATGGTAAACTACCAAAGGTTTTTAAGCTAGGGAGCGGCTGCCATCCTTCTGAAATGCAACTCTGGCCATAGTGATGACACTGTGAAAAACAACAAGTAAGAGGGAAAGAGACCATTTTCTTTGCCAGCTCTGCCAGAACACTCAGAGCAGCTGTGGCACACTGATCTCCTTACACTCTTCAACAGCGATAGTGGCTGAGGACTGCAGAGCACTTGCCTCCCCCAAGGTGCTACGTGGCTGCAATGCCAATTGTGCCCCAGTGCATCCTCATTTCTAATCACACAGCTCACATGAATTGTCACTAAATTTGGCCAATTTTAGGTCTTTAAGATTACTGGATACATATAAATTACCTAGAGAAAGAAGGATAACAACTCTATCTCAATCTTCCCCAGCAGCTGTAAAACCCGGTCTTCAGATGTCTCAGAACTCAATTTTTTTATACACAAACTTTTCTGATAATTACAGAAATAAATCTCCATCTGGGCCAGGCGCAGTGGCTCAGCCTGTAATCCCAGCACTTTGGGAGGCCAAGGCGAGAGGATTGCCTGAGCCCAGGGTTCGAGATCAGCCTGGGCAACTTGGTGAGACCTCATCTCTACAGTAAATAAAAAATAAGCCAGGCATGGTAGCGCGCACCTATAGTTCCAGCTACTTGGAAGGCACGGGTGGAAGGATCACCTGAGCCCAGCAGGCTGAGGCTCACGAGGCTGCGGTGACCATGAGCATGATGCTGTGCTTCAGCCTGGGCGACAGAGTGAGACTGAGACTCCAGCTCAAAAAAAAATCTCCATCTGTAATGTAACTGGAGTTACAGTCATCTGGGATATATTTATTTCCAGAAGACCCTGTTGATGTGCATACTCTGATTGCATGAGGGAGGCCATAATGAGATGTCAAAGTTGTTTGTGAATGAGCTGCTATCCTCACTGTCTCCATCACTTCTGACTTTTACATAGACAGGAAGCTAGTTGTGTATCACAGAGATTTAGGTTAGGATGGTGCTACTCCACAATGCTACAATGGGCTTGCTAAGTGGGACAAAGGGTTGTGAAGTCTGAAGGGTCTGCAGCTACTACAGCCAGATTTAGGTTCTTCTCTGACTCTTTCCTCTTAATACTGAGGTACTGAGTCAGAGAGCTAGGAGTTCTTCTTTTTATATTTTTACTGGGATCCAAGAAAAAGCATCAGGGTGGGAAAGAAAATGAAATGTGTCTTCAGGCTGCGTATTCCTCTAACAACAACAAAAAAAATCGTAACAGAAAATTTAAGACAAGAAATAAGAGACGCTTAGCTATCTTGGCCTCTGTTGCTCTGAGAGCACCTAAGACTCTTGTGATTGGTTTTGCCCCAGGTTGCCTCTGTCCCAGGCTGCCTGATTGCAGCAGCTGCTGCCTGGTACAACTGCTTGATATGCCATTGGTTCTCTCTCTGCAAACACGCACCACTTCACTTCTTCTGCAGCTCCCCTTTTAACTACCAGGAGTCTCCCCTGGCTGCCTCATTAGGATTGCAGCTCCTCCAGTGGGTACTGAATCCTTCCAGGTGTAGGAACTGTGTGTCAGAAATGTTTATGGGACATGAGAAAAAGTTGAAAACAGTTGCTTAAAGCTAGACCAAGGCTGGATGTACATATTTGGAAGTCATTATCATAGAATGCAAAGAGGGGTGGGACAATGGCAGAACTCTGGAAAATCTCATGGAGAGAAACTTATAAAAAAGATAGGACGACATATTAGAGAGAGTTGTGAAAAGTAGAAATGTGCCAAAGAAAACAAAAGAAACAAGATGGTCAAAGACAGAAACTGAAAATAGTGCCAAATACCAAGAAAAGTCAAGTAAGATAACATCTGAAGTGTGTTCATATGATGTGGTCAGGTGAAATGTTAAGGCCTACTACTAGATCATGTGGGTTAAGCAACTCAGAGATGAGGCAGAAAGGAGAAATTAGGGCGTAGCTATAAAGGAGATAAAGGTGAAAGCAATTATCTTCTTAAAAAGTCTATCAATAATTTACGAATTTACTTAATTTAGGCTCCAGGAGATGTAAATGCCTCACAGGAGGAAGAACCAGTAACTGGAAAGACAAAGGAAGAGATGGGACAAGGGCTATGAGATGACCACATGAGAGGAACTCATCCTCGTAGAGTAGCGATAAGAAAATAAGGATGTTCAAGGTCAGAAAAAGTGACAAGTTTAAGATCACAAATTAGCAGGATAAAACACTGATGATATAAGTCAAAGTTGTTTCCTGACAACACAAATTACAGAAGGTGGCAGGTAATCAAGCTCCAGAAGAGCCACTGCCAATATGGGCACAGGGTGCTAGCAACACGTGAAAGAAGTGCAGGGACGCCCCACAGGTTCCACTGAGGTTCGAAAACACAAGCTTTCCGTGGCACGAGTTCAGTCAACAACTCGATTTTCTCTAACTAGTCCACAAACACAGAAGCAAAGAAAGTAGATTAAAGGATGGATAAAGAGTTAAGGACCGGCCAGTTGTAGAGGCTCACAATGTAATCCCAGCACTTTGGGAGGCCGAAGTAGGACTGTTTGAGCCCAGAAGCTCGAGACTAGACTGGGCAACATAGTGACACCTCATCTCCACAAAAAAATCAAAAAGTTAGCCAAGCATGGTGGCACAAACATGTAGTGTCATCTGCTTAGGAAGCGCAAGTGTAGGGATCACCGGAGACCCGGAGGTCATGGCTATGGTGAGCCATGATCCTGCCACTGCATTCCAGCTGGGCGACAGAGCAAGGCGGAGGGAGGGAGGGAGGAGGACGGATACACTAAGGATGATGAGAAACCAAGGTGAGGGACCTGAAGAGGTTGAGTCTTCTGAGTCTCCTCTTCTCTGAGGAAATTGAATCATACCTCTTCTTCACTACAACAGCTCTTCCCATTCTGAAATAACTTTGCGTAGCACATCTGTAGCTCTGTCTTCATTTACTACCTTCTCATGGGAAGTCTAAACTCAAGTCCATCACTGAATATCAGAATTTGAGAAAAGTATACTGGAAGGTAAAATTGCACCAAGAAAAGATGAAAAAAGAAAGGGCAACATAACCTACTGTATCTCTGTGAAACAGTAAACATAAAAAGTAAGTGTAAAAAGGGAGATATTTTCCTTTAAAATATCAAGACTCCTAGATGACCAATCAGGCTAAATCCATTAGAACAATGCATTCACTAAATGTAAGCAACATACCTGTTTTAGTTCTGCTGGCTTTTTCTCTGGTGTTCGAATCTTATTAATTTCAGGTCCAGGGTTATTTGCATCACTTTTACCTAAGAAAATATTGTAAAATTCTTATAAGTTTTCTCCAGTGGATGTGATATTTACAATAATTATCCAAAAGAAGCAGAACACTTGAAACCTTTTTCACCCATTATTAGTGATTTTATTACTATTTGGGTTTTGTTCTTAAATTGTGAGTTGCAATTTCTCTGCAAGAAAGAAAATTTATAAATGAAGCAAACATAATTGACAAGGCAAAAGCTTAATAAGGGAAAAGCCTTAAAACATCAAATAATACCAAAGGAAACTGCCCAATCTCCAGGAATTTACAACCTCACCTTATTAAACTAGACATATTAAAGTATTTGGTAGCCAGGCTCGGTGGCTCAGCCTGTAATCCCAGCACTTTGGGAGGCTGAGGTGAGTGGATTGCCTGAGCCCGCGGGTTCAAGACCCGCCTGGGCAGGCAAGACCTCATCTCTACAATAAAAACAAAAAATTAGCCGGGCGTGGTAGCGCACGCCTGTAATTCCAGCTACTCGGAAGGCTGAGGCGGAAGGATCGCTGGAGCCCAGCAGGTCGAGGCTGCGGTGGCCGGGAGCGGCCACTGCACTCCAGTCTGGGTGACAGAGTGAGACTCCAACTCAAAAAAAAAAAAAAAAAAGTATTTGGCATTCTTGCCTATTTTTAAAGGTACAATGCTTTGGTCATTAACAAATGCAATTAAGTGAAAATTCAAATAATGTGTCAATCTACTTTAGTAAAAGACTCTAAACCTATTAAACATATTTGAAAAGGAATGTAGGAATACTGTTTAAAAATAACAGATATCAAACTAAATCTAAGTAGGTAATGTAGAGGAAGTAAAATTAAGGTTTAAAAAAGCACAAGTCAAAATAGACAAATAATTTAACATAAGTGAAAGGCTTTTCATCTACAGGAATTAACCACTAGATAATTTAAATTCCTTGAAGGAATCTTTTATTTAGGCTCTCGTTCAAAAATTCTTTCAGGAATGCCAGTGGAACTTTTTAAAATGAATCATCATGCCAGAATAGCCTTACCGCTAAAGTACAAAAGATGAAAGCTACAATGTCTGAAATGAAAAATACATGGATTGGAATTAGCAGCAGCATGGACACTGCGAAAAAAAAAGTTCACAAACATGAAAGCATAGCAATAGAGACTACTCCACATGAAACATAAAAAGAAATGTTATAAAGAAAAAAAGAAGCACCCATAAACTGTGGGAAAACTTTAAACATCCTAAAATATGGATAGCCAGAGTCCCTGAAGAAGAGGGGTGAAGGCAAGACAGAACAAAAAAATCTGAAAAGATATAAAGGTTACAAATTTCCAAACTTGATTTAAACTATAGACCTGAGAAGCTCAACAAACTCCAAACACTCTGAAGAAACATGAACTACACCAAGACATATAGTAATTAAATTTCTAAAACCAGTATAAAAAGAAAATCTCTAAAGCAGTCAGAGAAAAAAGATATGCAGAAAAATAAGGGTAAGGATGGTATAAGATCGCTCACTGGAAACAATGCAAGTGAGAAAATAATAGAACACCACCATTAAAGTACTGACAGTAAAAACTGCCAACCAAGAATTCTTCCTACACTCTGCAAAAATATCTTTTAAAAATGAAAGTGAAATAAAGACATTTTCAGGCATACAAAAGCTGAAAGAATTTATCACGAGCAGACCAGCACTATAAAGAAGATTTTTTTAAAAAAGTACTTCAGGCAGATGGAAAACTGTAACACATGAAATCATGATATATAGAAAGAAAAATTACTAGTAATGATAACTGCATGGATAAATACATAGAATTACTTTTCTTTCTTTCTTTTTCGAGTTGGAGTCACTCTGTCGCCCAGGCTGGAGTGTAGTGGCACACTACACCTGCTGGGCTTAGGCGATCCTTCCACTTCAGCCATCCAAGTAGCTGGAACTACAGGCGTGCGCTACCACGCTCAGCTTATTTTTTGATTTATTGTAGAGATGAGGTCGCACCAAGTTGCCCAGGCTGGTCTCAAACCCCCAAGCTCAGGCAATCCTCTCACCTCGGCCTCCCAAAGTGATGGGATTACAGGCTGAGCCACTGCACCACTGGCCTAAAATTACTTTTCTTAAGATTAAAAAAACTCTTTTACTTGGCTATTTTGGGAGTTTATAGCATATAGGGGAAAAAAGCATGATAATAATAGAGAAAAAAGTGAAATCTTGTAAAGTTATTTTACTGTACCTGAAATGGGAAAATACAAATTGGAAGTAGAATGTGATCAGTTAAAAATGTATACTATAAGCCGGCTTGGTGGCTCAGCCTGTAATCCCGCGCCTTTGGGAGGCTGAGGTGAGTGGATTGCCTGAGCCCACGGGTTCGAGACCCGCCTGGGCAGTGAGACCTCATCTCTACAATAAATCAAAAAATCAGCCAGGCGTAGTAGCACATGCCTGTAATTCCGGCTACTGGGAAGGCTGAAGTGGAAGGATCACCGGAGCCCAGCAGGTTGAGGCTGCGGTGGCTGGGAGCGGCCACTGCACTCCAGTCTGGGTGACAGAGTGAGACTCCAACTCAAAAAAAGAAAAATAAAAATGTATACTATAAGCCCTAAACCACAAAGTAATAAAACAAAGAGTTACAGCTAATAAGTCAATGAAGGAGATAAATGGGATCACAAAAAATACTAATCCAAAAGAAGGCAGAATAGAAGGAGAAGAAAAAAAATCACTTGGACAAAGTAAAAACAAACAGAAAGATGACAAAAGCAAAACTATCAATAATTGCATTAAATGTAAGTGGTCTAAACACTCCAATTAAAAGGCAGAAATTGTCACATTGAATAAAAAAATGCTACCAACTACATGCTACCTAAAATAAACATACTTTAGCCAGGCATGGTGGCTCACACCTGTAATCCCAACACTTTGGGAGGCTGAGATGGACTTGAGCCCAGGAGCTGGAGACCAGTCTGAGCACCACAGTTTAATCTCATCTCTACAAAAAAAAAAAAAAAAAAAAAAAATTAGCCAGGTTTGGTAGTGCATGCCTATAGTCCCAGTTACTTGGGATGCTGAGATGGAAGGATCACCTGAGCCTAGGAGGTCAAGGCTGTCATGAGCCATGACCATCATGATCATGCCACTGTACTCCAACCTGGGCGACAGAGTAAGACCTCGACACACACACAAGCACACACACACACACACACACACAAAACAAACAAAACAAACATACCTTAAACATAAAGACACAGATAAAATAAAAATAAAAGGTTAAAAAAATATATACCATGCTGTCATTAGTCAAAGGAAAGCTGAAGTGGCTACACTGATATTAAGCAAAGTAGATCTCAGAGTAAAGAATATTACCAGTAACAAAGAAGGTCATTCCATAATGATAAATGAGTTAATTAATCAAGAGTACATAACCCTAAACATGAATGATCTAGTAACAGAACTTGAAAACTCATCAAGAACTGACAGAACTTAGATGAAAAATAGCCCAATACCAATTATATTTGAAGATTTCCATACCTCTCCTCGGTAACTGATAGAAAAAGTAGACCAAAAAATCAGCGGGGATAGAGTGACCTTGAACAACTCCATCAACCAACTTGAACTGACTAACATTTACAGAGCAATCCATTCCTCTCAAGTATACATGGATTATTTACAAAGATAGACCATATTTTGGGATGTAAAACAAATTTCAATAAATTCAACAAAAGGAATAAATTTAAAAGTCATACAAGGTATGTTCTCTTACCACAATGGAATTAAAGTAGAAATCAGTAACAGAAATATTCTTAGAAAATTTCTAATAATCGGCAACTAAAACTCACCTTTCTAAATAAACCATGAAATCTCTCATTCTTTTGGAATCAGAAAGTATACTGAACCAAATGAAAATGAAAATATATGGAAATTTGTGGAATGCACTACTGAAGAAGATAATTATAAACTAAATATCTATATTAATCTAAGCCTTCACCTTAACAAAATGTGTACAAAATCTGTATACTGAAAACTTTCTTTTTAATGCCAAAAAAAGCAAAGACCTCCCCCCACCAAAAAAGAAAAGACATATACACCGTTCATAGACCAGAAGACTCAATATTGTTACGATGTCAATTCTTTCCAAATTGACCTAGAAATAATATAATCCTAACCAAAATTCTAGCAGACTTTTGTTTTTTTAGAAACTGATAAGCTGACTATAAAATGTGGGTATATAGAAATGCAAAAGACCTAAAATAAATAATTTTGAAAAATAACAGATTTGAAGAACTTACTCTACCTAATTTCAAGGCTCTTATAAAACTATATAGAGTATCAAGACTATAAACATGTACCAATATAAGAGTACAAAGTCCATGTATATGGTCAACTTATTTTAAACAAAGATGTCAGGGCAGTTCAATAAGCAAACGACAGAGTTTTTAACAAACGGTGCAGGAACAATTGAACATTTACATACAAAATCAAAACAAAATAACCAAAAAACAGCTCAGTCCTTACTTCACACCATGTACAAAATTTAACTCAAAATGGACCTACTATAAGAGCTAAAACTATAAAATTTTTATAGGAAAACACAAGACATCATTGTGAACTTGGGCTAGATAAAAATATTTTTAGACACACAAGCCGCAGGAAAAAAATGGATAAATGGAACTTCATCAGAAATAAAAACTTCTGTTCTTTGAAAGACACTGTTAAGAAAATAAAGCTGAGTGCCGTGGCACATGCCTGTCGTCCCAGCCACTCTGGAGGCTGAGGATGGGAGGACCGCTTCAGCCCAGGAGACTGCGGCCAACATGGGCAATGCAGACAGACCATGTCTCTTTAACCCTTTACCTGTCTGCTCTCAGAATACTCACTGGTGGCAACTCATGGATGACAGTCCTAACCTTACCCCCAAAGTCTGCCACAAAATATCTAGCTTTTATTATTATTTTCACATCGCTCTAGTTGACCAATAGTTTTTGGTAACAAATGACAACATTCTATTCATAGCATTCTATTCTTAGTAGAGGTATTTCCATTTACAAAATATAGTAATTCTTGATCACTGAAAATGTTAAATCCTAGAAAACATAGCATTCCTATGTATCATGTTAACACACGAAAAAATTATTAAATACTGATCATCATATACATTTGTTACATTAGGATTAGAGACAAGTTATGTTTAGAAATAACTCCAAGAACAGTTTTTATATTTTATTTTCACATTGAAAACCAGTCGGATTTGCTCAGCCTCACAGAACGTGTTTATGTAAAATTAAATGAACATGGCAGCAAGCTGCGCTTTATTTTTTTTCTAAATGAGAAATCGGCCAAAAAAAAAAAGAAAGAAAAGACAAGCCATATTCTGGGATAAAATATTTTCAAAACATACATCTAATTAAAGATTTGTATCCAGAATGTATAAATAACTCTTTTTTTAGCTATCTTATGACAGCAGCCATTTAATTTGTGATTACAGGTCAAAATACTTAAAGAGAAAGGATGAAACAACTGCTCAAGAAATGTAGCCCCTTAAGTCAAATATATAGTAATTGTTGTTCCATGTATAGGAGGACCCAAAATACAAAAAAACTCTTCTAAGTAAAAACAATCAACTCAAGACCAGGCAAGGTGGCTCAAGCCTATAATCCCAGCACTTTGGGAGGCCGAGGTGAGGGGACTGCCTGAGCCCACAGGCTTGAGAAAAGCCTGGGCAACTTGGTGAGACCTCCTCTCTATAATAAATCAAAAATTTAGCTGGGTGTGGTAGTATGCGTCTGTAGTTCCAGCTACTTGGAAGGCTGAGGCAAAAGGATTGCCTGAACCCAGCAGGTTGACGCTAGGGTGGCCGTGAGCGTGCTGCTGCATTCCAAACTGGGTAATGGAGTGAGACTCCAACTCAAAAAAAAAAAAAAAAAAAACTCAAAAAAAAAGTAGGCAATAGATATAAATAGACGGTTCATCACAGGAGAGACACACATGGCAAATAAGCATAATAAAAAGACAGTCAACATCATTTGTCATTAGGGACATGCAAATTAATAACCACAGGGGGATACCATCAGATATCCACTAGCAAAAGTAAAATTTAAGACAGACAAAATCAAATGCTGGTGAAAATGTCATATATTACTAGCAGAAACCAAAAATGATTCAACCCCTTTGGAAAAATAATATGCTAAATATGTATTTACAATATGTCTAGCAAAGTCACTTCTAAGTATTTACCCGAGAGAAATAAAAACATATTTTCATAGCAACTGTATTCAAGAGCAAAAATTATATATTAATGTGTATGTCAACTGGTGTAAGTATAAACACATTGTGGTACATCCATACAACTGAATACTAATCAACAGTAAAAAGGAAAAAACAACTGACACATGCAATCTGAAGGAATTTCAAAAGCATAATGGTAAGTAAACAGAGCTGGACACAAATTTTAACTATATACCACAGGATTCCATTTATATAACATACTAGAGTAAAAACAAAAGTAGAGGGACAGAAGTCAGGTAAGTGGTTGCCCAGGGGTGGGGCAAGAAGATAGGACTGACTGCAAAGGGGCAGAAAGGAACTGTTTGTAAATATCCTGTATCTTGATTTTGGTAGTAGTAACAACTCTGCATATTTGTTACAGTTCAACAGTGTACATTTCTAAATTTTTTTTTTTTAGTCAGGGTCTCTGTCATGCAGACCGGAGTGCAGTGGCATGATGGCTCACCACAGCCTCGACCTCCTGAGCTCAAGCAATCCTCCTGTCCTGGCCTCCCAAAGTGTCAGGATTATAGGCATGACCACTGTGCCTGGTCAGCGTACATCGTAAAAGGGTAAATATGATCGTATATAAATATATCTCAATAAACTTGAATTAAAAATATAGTAATTTTTCCTTATATATAACGAACAGATTTGCATATGAAATAATCTTTATATCAACTATTTCCACCAAATCATGTTTAGTATACCACAAATAAATTTTGGGTTAACAAATATGTTTAACAGGAGAAGACTTTTCATCTCAATTTTAAATGACTATCATTCAAAATACTCTAAATATTAATATTCAATACTTTTCAGGAAATTAGTGATACTAATCATGAGTGGGTAGGGTTTAACCTAAAGGACTCTCTGAAATTACACGCAAATTTTGTATCTATGTACATATTTGTGTCTTCTGAAGAGAGATCCGATTCTCTCTCAAAGAGGTCTAGAATCCATGAAAAAGCTGAAACTTTCTGTGTGGCTAAAACTTCACACGTCATCCATTTAGGAACAGGAGAAGAGCGAAACAACTCACCATTTCGATTTTGCTCATGCTGCTCCTTCTCCTGAGGCTGACTTTGTGGCTGCCCTGCGCTGACAGGTGGGTGATGTCCAAGGCCGTAAGGAATAGGAGATCCCCGTCCATGTGTCTGTAATAGGTTCATATTATAGGCCATTGCTGCCTGATGTGTGATAATTCGAGGATCAACTGCAAACCTACCCTGGTATCCTGTCCATGGTACCTAGGTCATTACAAGAAATACATTATATTAAGTATATTTTGGAAGGCAAACTGCTATAGTGCTGTTGATTAGAAAAAAGCAAACACACAACTCAGATGTTAATTAGATCAAAATGAATAGCTACAAAGTCAATGCTAACACTCACATTAACATTAACAACTGGTAGAATTATTGCTGTGACTTAACTGGCCAAAAACAGCTCCCTGAATCTTTAGTATGTAAGGGAAAACAGATCATTTTTAGGAAGAAACTGAGGACTTAAAATTGGTAATTATTCCTTGAGGTATTAAGTCATTTTATCGTCTTTATTCACTTATTATATAAGCAAATATATGTCACAGATTAGCAAAAAAAAATCTTTTTAAGTCATAACTGCATAGTTATATAGTTCAATAAACTGAATAAGAGAGCAGGGAGAAAGCTAAGAAAAAGTTTAGCCTAAGGAGTCTCAACTCAAAACATAAATCTTCCGACTTCATATGAATAAACAAATCATTTAATGTTCACTCGTTGTAGGTAAAATTCAAAGAGGTCATTACTTTAATACGTGTTTTTGATTAATTCGTCTCTACCTTAAAACACAGAAACAGAAAACCTGTTTAGGTATGACTAGATATATAATCTCTGCAGATTACCATAAATGGAATAAATAAAATGACATCTGAGCTACTGCCCCTTTTACTTGAGTATAACTGTTAAATGCATACTCTTGAAATTTTACACAATAAAAGCCTCTCTGACTTAGTAAAGTGAAATATAAATCCTACGGGACTTACTATTTAAAGTTGATCATGTATAATGTTGTCAGGTTATTTGGGAAGAAATAAGTCGGCTAAAATCTACAGTCTAAAAGCTATGGGGAGTGGGCATGGACAGTCATTCTCCTTGGTTGCCATGATTATGAACCATCATGATCAACATGGCTGAGAAATGTTTGCAACTAAGGATTTTCCCTTCTTGGAGTGTGGGCAGCGTTGCCAAAGATCTTTGGCAATAATCAACTCTACCTAAAATTACAGTACTTGCCTTAAGTGAAAGAAATTGTTTCCTAAGCTAAACTACTGAATTGAAAATATTTGTATATCAGCAAATTAACAAAATATTCAAAAATCTTAAAGGAAATGAAATGGGTTTAAAGGGTTCAGCAATGTTTTTAAGTAGCAGTAAGAGTTCATAAGGCATGAAATTTCTCAGATAAATTTAGAGTCAAGAGAACTAGACTAATCCAAGCCTCTCTGCCTTCTCCAATCAACTATATTTCTTAGAAGTTTGTAACTTATACAAAAGTAAAAAGCAAAAGATAAAATGAGAACATCACTTTACAAAAAGAGACCAATTTACTAGCTGTTGACTTTTAGCCCAATTTTCCTCAGTAAAACAGTTTAAAAGAATACAAAGCCTTCTACATAAAAATATTCAATGCATAGACTTCTTCATAGTCATTGACAACCTAGTAACAAATTGTAAGCAACAATTCACCTTTCTTTGGTTATTTAAAAATTAAAGGTTAAAGAACTGCTTTAAAAGCAGTTTATGTGCCAGGCATGGCACTTTGGGAAGCCGAGACGAGAGGACTGCCTGAGCCTGGGGGTTCAGACCAGCCTCAGCAGCTTGGTGAGATCTCGTCTCTAAAATAAATCACAAAAACTAGCCAGGAGCGGTGGTGTGTGTCTGTAGTTCCGGTTACTTGGAAGGCTATGGTGGAAGGATCGCCTAAGCCCAGCAGGTCGAGGCTGTGGTGGCCATGAGTGTACCACTGCACTCCAGCCTGGGCAACAAGAGTGAGACTCCCACTCAAAAATAAATAAATAAATAAAAACCAACTTATGGGCATTGACAAGTTTAAAAAGAAGAGGTTGGTAGAATACTATCTGGGATTGTCACCAAATCAGTGAAACCTGTTTTGCTTGATTTAACCAAAAGCATCTAGGATGTCTACTTACAGGCAAAGGCACTGACACAACCACATTCCCTCCATAGACAGCAGGTACATAAAGAATACTTGTCCCAGTGTGTGGGTCTATCCTTTGAACAGGACTGGGAGATTTCCCCAAATTTGGGTGAGGTCCAAGAGGGGGTGGAGGAGTGTATGCTCTAATAGGATTGCCAATAAGTACAGAAGGATTGGGCTGAACTGAAAAACAAACAGAAAAAGGACACACTCAACAGCTGTACATATTCACCTACACAAAAATAATTTAAATCATCCAACGGCAAAATATATTTCCCAGGTTTGCATAAGACACCTTATAATCAAAGAATTATCAGTGTGAAAGAGCAAAGCATATTTTAAAAAACACAAACATTTTATAATACTCTCTAAAAGTCAGCTAAGTGATACAAAGTATAATTTTTATATACTACTATAATTTTAAATGTCTTCTGAGGAGCTGGAGATGTGCCTTTCAAGAGAAAAACCACACACATACTCCCAAGTAAACAGTCTTCCAAGACAAGGAAAATACAACTCTTCAGAATAAAATTTTGGCTTGTAGTTGCAACATGGCCACATATGAAATGAAGGTTAAGCAATTATTATTTTAAAAGATAATTCTGCAACATTTAAATCATTTAAATAAACTCTATGTTGAAATTTGTGCAACCCAACATTTGTAAGATATATTTTCTAAAAACTTATGCTGCAAAAAGGATTAAATGTTTTTCCTCAAAACTTCTTGATATGTCTGTACACTGACACCTACAAAATAACCTCTTTTCAGAAATGACATATCAATGCATTGACATGAACAGATGTGAATAAAGTAAATGTAATTAAGTGGGATTCCAAAGTGACTGTCCGTGTGTGAGTGTGTCTGTGTGTGTGTGTCTCTCTCTCTCTCAAGAGGGAGGGGGGAGGGAGAGAGCATCTCCCCGCCCTTCTCTTTCTCATAGTAAAATCAAGTTTTCATAGAGTTAATGTTTCCACTTACCAATTCCATCATTCTGGAAATTATCATTCTGGGTATGAAGAAGACTTTTCCCCTTTAAAGAAAAAAAGTAATGTATAGTAATTTAAACATGTTTAATATTATAGAGCAATAACCATCTCCCTAATCATCTGCAAATTAAATGTATACAATTAAAATTTAAAAATTGTGAGACTGTAATTAACAACCATTAGACTGCTCTGAGCCAATTTTATTTTTATTTTTAAATTTTTTTTGAGTTGGGGTCTCACTCCGTCGCCCAGGTTGGAGTGCAGTGGCGTGCCCCTGGCCACCGCAGCCTCTACCTGTTGGGCTCAGACGATCCTCCTGCCTCAGCCTTCCAAGTAGCTGTAACTACAGGCACATGCCACCATGCCCAGCTAATTTTTTTATTTATTGTAGAGATGAGGTCTCACCAAGTTGCCAGGCTGGTCTCGTGGGCTCAGGCAATCCTCTTACCTAGGCCTCCCAAAGTGCTGGGATTACAGACTTGAGCCACCATGCCTGGCCTGAGCCAATTTTCCTTTTAAACATTAGGCCATGGCCATCTCAAACAATATTGCTGGCCTCAAATTTTCTCAGTTTCAAATTATGGGTATCTAAAATTCTTTTTTTAAATGAATCTTCTTATAAAAAAGAAATATGCAATCAACATGACTAAAAACTAAATTCTATTCCTCTGCAGCTTTTCTGTAAATTTTCTAATAATTAAATGACAAAACACATAAGTTGTTTTTCAAAGAAAAATATCAGTCTTTAATTCTTAAGGACAAGAACCTTTAAAACAATAACAGGAATATAAACATGATTTGGAATTTATAATATTTCAAGTATAATTCATGGTATATTCAAGTATAAAATTTACTAAAAACACAGAAAAAGAGGCACTGTCATAATTTGCTTAAGAGAGAATGTAGCTAATTGATAGACAGCAATATGTCAATATATATCAAAAGCGCCAAAAATGTACATACTTTAACCCACTAGTTGCACTTCCAGGGATTTACTCAAATGAATTAATCATGAATTTGGGCCCAGATGTCCATCACAGTATGGTTTACAGTGTAATAAATGTTAACAATCTAAATGTCCCTCAATGGAGGACTTATCAAACAAGCAATAGCAAATTCATGTAATGACATACTAGTATAGCATTAAAAATTATGACACTTGTGCAGAAACAATATTTGAGGAGACAATGGCTCTGAACTTCTGTACTTAAACGAAAAATTCTTTTCCCACTGGCTACATCTACCACATATCAAGCCAACTAGGAAAAATAGCACATTAGGCAACTTACCTTTAGACACACACATTTGTTACTTGTACATTACATCTGAAAACTAAAGGAGGGATTTTGTCTATAGCAGAAAGATAAATGCATTCTTGACTAAAGTACAAATATCTGTCAGAAACACCAAATATCCAATTCAGCAGTAAACACCGCAGATTCAAGGTGAGTAGGGAAGGACAGCTAAGATATAACTCCTGAAATCAGCAAAAATAGCCAAAAAAAGAATCCTATTTGGTCCACGCACAGAAGAGAAAGAACGTGCACAGTGACTTGCACCAGCAATAAAAAAAAAACTTCTGAGGAATAGAGAAGGGATGAGAAAAGCAGGCAGAAAAAAAGAAGATGAAAAAGAGGGATTGGCAAACACTGAGATGGCAGAAGTCAGGGAAGATCAGAAGCATGAGCAATTAGAAGTGACAACAGGAATGGCACAGACACTGACAGAGGAAAGGAGAGCCAGTGACAGGAACAGAAGATAAGAGAGTTCCGAGAGGGTGACAAACCTATCACGGACTTGTTATGACCCATCAATGAAGGATAACTGTGTCACATATGGAAGAAGTACAGTAACTAGGTTAGAGCTGTGGTGGGCAGAAGGGGCCCCCCCAAAGATGTCCATACTCTAAGCCTTGGATCCTGTAAATATGATATGTGGCAAAAGGGACTCTGCAGACACAATTAAAGTTATGGACCTAGTTGGAAACTGCCGGGGGTGGGGGTGGGGGTGGCACACCTCATCAACAAGGGTAACTGTATAATGAACATTTATTTATATACCTAATCCTGAATTGTACCCCACATCTTTAAAATAAATAATTAAAAAGAAAAGAGTTATGGACCTAAAATAGGGAGAGTATCCTGGATTATCTGGGTGAGCCCAATCTGATCACATGAGCGCTAAAAGTAGAGAAATTTCACTGGCTGTAGTGAGAGAAATGCAGCAGAAGAAAGAGTAAGAGTGATGCCAGGGGAGAAAGATTCCATGCACCATTACTGGCTCTGAGACACGGGGGACACATGAGAAAACTGGAAAAGTTAGAAGCTAAGAATGACTCCAGGCAACACTCAACAAGGAAACAGGAACATCAGTGGTCACAGACACACAAGGCGTGAGACTCTGCCAAGAACCTGCATAATCTTGGAAGGAGGTTCTTCCCATAGCTTCCAGGTAGGAGCCCAGCCAGCTAACACCTTGATGCCAACCTTGCAAAACCCAGGGCAGAGAAGTCAATCAAGCCAACTCGGACATCCGACCCACAGAATTGTGAGATAATACAATTGCATTAAGTCACTACGCTTGCACTAATTCATTACAGCATTAATAAGATACCAATACAGAGTAGCCGTAGTCTAGGGTACTCCTAGACTGTAAAGCTGGAGGCATGCAAGACAATATACATCTGCCCTCTGCATGTTGTGTAGCATACTGAATAAAAAACACAAATTGGATCCTATCGTGTAAAAAGATGGTGACACATCTACAAGTGTAACTCAGCACTCTACAAGGTTCAATATAGGATACAATTCTTTAGCTATCTATCTATGTGTGTATATATATATATATATATATATTTTTTTTTTTTTTTTTTTTTTTTTTGAGTTGGAGTCTCACTCTGTTGCCCAGACTGGAGTGCAGCAGCCACTCCCAGCCACCACAGCCTCGACCTGCTGGGCTCCGGCGATCCTTCCACCTCAGCCTTCCAAGTAGCCGGAACTACAGGCATGTGCTACCACGCCCGGCGGATTTTTTTATTTATTGTAGAGATAAGGTCTCGCTGTCCAGGCGGGTCTCAAACTATATTTTGACACTGCAGATTAACTGTAGAGTAGTAAATTTACATGGTTTATATGAAATATTCAGTATATATGTAACAATAATCTAGAGTGAACTATATAAAAGTCATTCCAAGCCAGGCTCGGTGGCTCAGCCTGTAATCCTGCGCCTTAGGGAGGCTGAGGTGAGTGGATTGCCTGAGCCTGCAGGTTCGAGACCCGCCTGGGCAGCGAGACCTCATCTCTATAATAAATCAAAAAATCACCTAGGTGTGGTAGCACATGCCTGTAATTCTGGCTACTCGGAAGGCTGAGGTGGAAGGATCGCCGGAGCCCAGCAGGTGAGGCTGCGGTGGCCGGGAGCGGCCACTGCACTCCAGTCTGGGCGACCGAGTGAGACTCCAACTCAAAAAAAAAAAAAAAAAAGTCATTCCATAATAAGTCCAGACTAGTTACATTCTGCTAATAAATCTCAGAAAGTAGTATGCCTTTGGTAGAATGCTCATTAATGCCAGGATTTTTATAAGCAAATTAATTCATATAATCTATTTTCTATAAATAAATGTAGTTCATATCATCTTACCACTTAGTTATCCAAATGTGTTTTTTTTTTCCTTCATTCATTCATTTATGTTTTTTCCATTTATTCATTCAACAAATGTTTACTGAGAGCATACTATGTGTCTACCCTGCTGGGCACTGAGGCTACAAAGGTAAACAAAACCAACACATCTACTGATGACTAGAAAGCGAAACACACACCAGCAGCTAAACACAGAGGGTGAAAAACACTGAACAAACTAAAATCTGTAAGATAATGCTATGGCCTTCAGAGGCTCCATGTCTGAATAGTGTCTCTCCTCTGAACAGCTTCTGCAGCATATGCAAATGAAACGGGTCCATCATAGTGAAACTTCCAAACTCTGCTCCTAGCAAGCATCTGAGGAGCAAGCAGAATGAGGATAAGCAAGCTGCTTTCCCCTCTGCTTCAGAGGTGGCATAACACCCCCCGCTGCTCTACAGGATGCCTGGAGAGGGGAAGGCACGAAGGGTTAGCTGTAACTCCCTATTCTCAGACCCCCTATACTCTGGGCCTTGGCTAAACCTTACTACAGAGCTGAAGTCTTAGTGAGGACAATAACGTTATTTGACTGCTAGATACAGCTCTAGAAAAGCAGGTATCAATTTTTAACCATCACACAGCCTTCTGATGATTTTATCCACATGAAACCTTATTGAGATTTTAAATCGTATCCCAACATTAATGATACCAATTTAAAATATTTCTTATGCATAGAATTGTGTTAAAATTAAGAAAACTTGAAAAAAATTGTATGACTTGGTGTCAAATTTTTAGAAACATAATCCTTTTCTTCTTCTTCTTTTTTTTTTTTTTTAAGAGTTGGAGTCTCACTCTGTCGCCCAGACTGGAGTGCAGTGGCCGCTCCCGGCCACCGCAGCCTCGACCTGTTGGGCTCCGGCAATCCTTCCGCCTCAGCCTTTCGAGTAGCTGGAATTACAGGCGCGCGCTACCACGTCCGGCTAATTTTTTGATTTATTGTAGAGATGAGGTCTCGCTGCCCAGGCGGGTCTTGAACCTGCGGGCTCAGGCAATCCACTCACCTCAGCTTCCCAAAGGCGTGGGATTACAGGCTGAGCCATCCAGCCCGGCTAATCCTTTTCTTCTAACAAGATAAATCCCCCTTCATCCAAAGACTAACACATGAAATAAAATCACTGGGATTTGTTTCAAAATTCTCCAGTGTGTTTACGTGGTGGTGATGGGCTGGGGGAAGTAGATATAGATGAAACAAGATATAGCTAATATTAATCAAGACAGGTGACAGGACTCTCTCTACTTATATACATTTTTAAAATTTTCCAGTACAAATTCAGACCTCACAAAACAATTTAGCAGAAGTAAACTAAAATACTGGGGGGGAGGGCAATAGAGTAACAAAGATAATCTACGGTTCACTAGATTCTAACTTTAGTTATGTAAAGTTACTGACTACGCCATGTGTATATTTAACCAATTTTTTAAATAATCAGGTACGTGAACACTTTGGCGAACCAGTGTGCTAGTGACATAGAAAATAACAGAGGACATCTATAGAATCAGTGAAGAAGTTTTTCTTACAAGTTTAAAAAAATTAGGAGGGCGATAGCTGCTTTGGTCTTTCATTACACAACCTTCCTATTGAGAGAAAAAAGTCAAACGATCATTATTCACTAGCCAGATACTCCCTGAACACCCACTGTGTGGAAAGAGTGAGATCCTAAAAAGCTTAGAATAGGATTTTTTTTTTGTCTTCAGGAGTTTATGGTAATGGTTTTGGAAAAGCAAGTGGATTTAACAAACTTTAAAACTGCGGGATCTTGCTTGGGGTCAGTACACGGTACCATGCTTGAATCTAGCTTCACCCACAATACATTAATTGCTGCCTATATTGCTCAATTAAGTAAGAAGATTTTACTCTATTGTGCTAGTTCTCACACACGTAAGCTACTTGCTGTCCCCTGCAGATGTGTCTCCTGTTTACCTCTTGCCTTTAGTAAAAGCTCTTTCTTAGGCTTCACTCATTCATTTAAAATACTACTAAGCACCTATTATGAGTCAGCTATTGTTCTAGGCTCCGAGGTGAGGGCAGTAAATAATACAGGCAAAAATATCTGCCCTAGTTGAGCTTATCTTCTAGTTTTGGACACATTTCCTCAATCTCCCACTACTTCCAGCCACCCAATAAATTTCTGAGAAAGAGCTTGTTTGCAGACATGGCATTGAATCTTATCTTCTTTCTCTGACCATCATCCAGCTAATTCCTCCACCAAGCCACAGGACTCAGGGGCTAATTTGCTCATCTATGCTTCTTTAGCATGCACCCTAACATCTGGCACATAGAAGAAACTTTACTGTCTGATAAATACATTATTCATTAATAGTTTAAGCTTGAGAAACCTACAAGATTCATTTATGCAGAACAAAAATGCCAAATCACTGAAGTAGTACTGCACATTAGGTCAATTTTTATTAAATTAAGAATATACAACAGTATATTAACACAGAGAATAGGTCTCTTCTCAGCTTAATATCTAATATTTAGCTAAAAGTTTCAAAATATTAAGCCATTAATTACTGCTTACACATTAGGTTTCAGATTTTTCATATGATGCTCAAAACTGATATACTAATTCATATCAGTAAGTTTAATATGCTGACAACTATAAATACATAAACAAATTGGAACAAATACTAAAAGTGTCATTCTCAGACCTTTCTTTTCTAGATGATAAGTGCAAGCATTTTTTTCCAGGCACTCTAGCAAATAAGCCAGCAGTCTCTGTCCAAAATAACTATGGTTCAAAAGTGGAAGTGACCTTGACTCCCTCACTACCATGTCCCGACTGGAATCCTTCTATGCAACAAATATAGGTCAAAATCAATTAAAGTCATCTTTAAGACATCAGTCAAGTTTTCTCACTGTGTCAAGTACAACTTCAAATTAACTAGTCATCAAAAAAGGATTAGAATTATTTTCTTTATACAAATGTTATTATATTATTATTCCTTGTAGAGAATATAAGGCATGTTTTTAACAACTGTGATAACCTTTTCAGCTTCTGTGTTTCACTTACATCTCACTAAAACAAGTGTAGCCAAGGAGACTGGAAGGTTCTATTATATAAAGGATACCATAAGTTATCAGGTACTTAAAACCTTTTAGAGAATGATCATGACATTAAACATGGCTACATAACGCACTCGACTGTCACTCATATGTCCAAATCTAGGCGAGTTCCTTGCAGAAACTGCTCGCCACTAAAGGTGACCTTCAACTCCAGTAAGTAAAATAACTTGGGCCCTAACCCTCGGCACTTCTGTGCTGTTCTCTCCCCACAACTTCGTCCACTTCATTAATAGAGGCTTTACCTTGGGTGGTGACTGCTGCTGCTTGCTGGTGCTTCCTGAATGTTGCAGTCTCAGAGCCCGGGGGATAAATTCAGGCGCCAGTGGATTCAATACATATGTCTTCTTTAGTTCTAAAGCTTCTAATTGGGCCTTGATCTGTTCAAAAGTGATTCCATGTAGGCTATGGTTTTCATGACACAGGGCAATAAACCGCTCCCAAAATTTCCTACAGAAAAAATTTAGATCAGTTTACAATTCAATGGGTGAGATCACAGAAATGAACAAAAGTTACTAAAGATAATTTCAAACCACCTCCACCAACCTCAAATCCTTAAATCGGATAGTCATCTGACTATGATTTAAGTATAATCCTCCTACAGATCACAAGACTGAAAGTTTGATTCTGAAACTACCATCATACTTAGTATTGTGATACATACAAAACAGGTTCTTAATTATTTTGGCTCATCAAGTCAAAGAACACGGTCAATGCTCAACTATCTACGCTAATCCGGAATGAAGTTTTGACATCCACATATGTAAGGATTTCAAAATTGATGGGAATTCATTTTACAGAAAATTTGGACTTCTAGGCATACTCGTGGCTTACATGTAAATACATACTATATATATAATTCAATATAATGTATATAATTCAAATTAATTTATATACATGTATACATACATGCATACACACACACACACACACACACACACACACACACACACACACACACACACACACTTGATACTTCTAAGGTCAAAGTAATCTGGTGCTAGATGACTAAGAAAAGCCAACTCAACCGGGCTCGGTGGCTCAGCCTGTAATCCCAGCACTTTGGGAGGCTGAGGAGTGGATTGCCTGAGCTGCGGGTTTGAGACCTGCCTGGGCAGGCGAGACCTCATCTCTACAATAAAATCAAAAAATTAGCCAGGCGTGGTAGCGCGCGCCTGTAATTCCGGCTACTTAGAAGGCTGAGGCGGAAGGATCGCCGGAGCCCAGCAGGTCGAGGCTGCGGTGGCCAGGAGTGGCCACTGCACTCCAGTCTGGGCGAAAGAGTGAGACTCCAACTCAAAAAAAAAAAAAAGAAAAGCCAATTCAGGGCATGAACTTGAGTCATAGAGTAGATAATCCTCATAAGGATTCTTAAGGAATAACCAGCTACTCTTCTATTCTTCTCTTACTTCACAGATGCTTGTCACAAGCACATCTTACACTATTCATTGAGTAAGTTATAAGAGCTAAATGAACTATGGAAAAAAACTAAGTTGAAATGCTAATTTTAACGTTGATTATTCATTTTCTAATCAAATTAATAAACAATGAGAAAAATACATTTAAAACTTGTTGTATCTGTATACTGTTGTTCCTAAAGGTTAGAAAATTGATTTCTGAACACTAAAACTATTAAATGCATATTACAAAAGACAATATATAAAGTTTTAAAATTGTAAACTATTATAAATAAGCATACCTATGTTTAATATGAGGCTCAAATAATGTTTTATTATGCTATAAAAGATATGATATGGTTTCTTCCCAAGTTGGTATCCTTGTGTCCAGGTGGACAGCAGGTAATCAACATCACTTCAAGAAGCATAAATAAAAAGGTTTATATTATAAAAGTTAGTATATGAATGGGAATTGTGTTATTAATGTATTTGTAAAACACGGTAGAGTTTAATTTCAAACTATGTTTCTCTTACATATGCCTTCTATTTGTTTTTTCTAATTTTTTAAGGATGATTTTAAGAAACAGGTCCAGGAAAAATTTTAGACTTATATGTAAACATAAAAAAAGTTAAAATGCTACAAAATATTAAATATATATTTCTGACCACAGATTAAGGCTACAAGATAGTCATTCAGGTATAGGAAGAGTGTGTTGCCAAGAAATACATGCTGGAAGCTGTCCCTTATTTTATTCTTAGGAACTCCTTTGAAGCTTTTTCCACATAGTAACATGAAAAAATATAAGGAAGGATTATCTTACAGCACTCAGAATCTAAAATCCATCAACTTTCCCACTCTTTTAATAACCGTCACAATACTCACAAATGCATAAATTACTATCAACACAATCTGCCACATACTGTACTTTTTTTAAAAAAAGGGTTTTTTTGTTTAATTAATAAAGTTTCAAAGAGTGGCATCTCATTTTTGTGTTGGATTTTAAGACAGGGCAAAACAACAAGGAAAAAATAGACTGGCTTTTACGCTATCACAGCCTTTAATAACAATGCCTTATTACATATTTTCAATTCTGATTTACACAGCCAAAATACTAGAGCTTTCTCTATTTTTAAGCTACCTTTTAAAACTCCATACCCTTTTCCTATACTACCCTCACTGACCTCAACTACATTGAACAGGATATGAAATAACACCGAATTAAGCAGAACTTTCAAACATCCTCAAAATTCACAAGAAACCAGAGCTCAGTAACAATCTTTGTCTACATAAAGACCCCAGGACCTCAAAAAAAAAAAAAAACCAGCCATTGAGCTAAAGGACATCATTTTAGAAATAACACAACACGTATTGTAAGTTAAACAAGTTAAACTGGTTCCAAAAATAACCTCAAATTTGCATGTCAAATCTGGTATTTGTTTATTGTACCATTGATACAAGTAGTCAAGCTCATGGATTTTGAATTAGACCGAAACTTTGGCTCTGTCATTCAGTAGCTGTGTGACTGTGCAGATTACTTATACCTTTATACCTTGGTTTCCTCATGTGCAAAATGGGGCACCAGCAGTATTATTATTATTATTATTCCTTATTATTGAAAAGTTTGGTTTCGTTTTTCTGTTCATCTTACTTCTAGGATCAGTGATAAAACACTGAAAAAATCACTTGGTGTCCTTAGGTCAAACTGTGTATATATAGGTGTGTACATATACATATGCACACATCTCTACACACACATGAAATATGTTCATATTTTACTGAGTAAATGAAATGTGCTAATGAGGAAATCAGGTTAAAGAGAAGATCTTCTCTAAACACACTGGTCTGAGGTAATGTCACCACTCTCCTCTGGGCCTCTTCCCCTTCAATGCAGATTTGTCTGTGCCTATCCATCACTTCCTGGGAAAGGCGGCATAACCCAGAACAAACAGCATGGGTTTTGAAGTCAGTATGACATCTGTCTGGATGAACCACATAACAGCTGTGCGACCCTGGGCAGGTTTTAAACTCTCAGCTCAGGCCACCCGTTTAAAATGCAAATAAAATACCCACATTGTAGGGTTGCTGGGATGCCTGAAAGACGCAATGTGTACAAAGCACACAAACCAGCATCTGGCACAGAGACGGCTGTCAACAGAAAGCAGCTATTATATTGATGATAGTTTGGTAGGAGGGGAGGGGAGGGAGGAGCTCACTACACTGATTTTGGATTAATAGAAAAATTCTGTTAAAAAATACAACAACAAAAAGAATATATACATGACTGACTTCTAAACTAGTATAATATGCACAGTAATTATTCCTTAAAAATTTGATTGCTACTTGGGAGTATCATAATAGATTTTTACAAATAATGAATGAAAAAAGCAAGGGAAAAGTCCTAATGAACTCAAATTCCTCCATTCTTACAGGACCCAAAAATCATATCTTCCAGATTTACTTGTATTGAGAGATTAAATTAGTATCAAATGAAATTAGTAAAATTAAAGCTTAAATATTCATATGCCCCAATGAACAACTCTTGGGTCAAAGCCATGATTAAAACTGTTCAAATAAAACAGATAATCAACATTCAACATTCCCATTTAGCTATGATTTTTTTTTTTCTTGACATAAGATACTTCCCTAAAAATATTTTACATAGCTTACAAATTAATTTGCAGTCCTTGACACACCCTAGCTTGAGTAGTAAGAAATAAGCAACGAGTAGACTGGTCTTCAAGTTACAAATCAGCCCTGGATATTTCTGACAGCATGGCCTTCCAAATAATTATTCACCAATTTGATCCGAGAAAGCAACGACTTATTTAAGAAGAGTGAAAAATGCTGATCTCATGCCATTCACAGAATACTATGACTCTGTAATAAAGGAGTAAGAGTTCCTTAGAAATATTCAGGTTGGGCTGGGCACGGCAGCTCACATCTTTAATCCTAGCACTTTGGGAAGTGGAAGCAAAAGGACTGCCTGAGCCCAGTGGTTCAAGACCAGCCTTGGCAACTTGGCAAGACTGCGTCTGTAAAATAAATCAAAAAATTAGCCGAGCATGGTGGCACACATCTGTAGTTCCAGCTACTTGGAAGGCTGAGGTGGAAGGACCACCTAAGCCCAGCAGGTCAAGGCTGCGGTGGCTGTGAGCATGCCACTGCACTCCAGACTGGGCGTCAGAGTTAGACTTCGGGGCGAGGGGAGGAGAGCTAGGCACGGTGGCTCATGCCTGTAATCCCAGCAATTAGGGAGACTGAAACGAGAGGACTGCCTGAGCCCAGGGGTTCAAGACCAGTCTGGGCAACTTGACGAGACCTCATCGCTACAATAAATAAAGAATTAGCTGGGTGTGGTGGCATGCGCTATAGTTTCACTACTGGAAAGGCTAAGGTAGCACTCCAGCCTGGATGACAGAGAAAGACCTCAACTCAAAAAAAAGAAAAGAAAAAACTCAAGTTGGTAAATATTTGAAAATATTTGTAGGGAAAGCCCAAAATTAATGTGGCTCAATGGTATTCTCATACCTATTTATTCCTCCAATTGCTTCTAGTTGTTTGTTACCATTTTATGTATGTGTTTTAATATACTACAGTCTAGTCAAACTGTACGTGCTCTCTCACTTAATCAAATAATAAATATAAACAAAAAAAAAGCTGGCTATGGTAGCTCACACCTGTAATCCCAGCACTTTGGGAGGCAGAGACGAGAGGAGTGCCTGAGCCCAGGTGTTCGAGACCAGCCTGGACAACTTGGCGAAACCTCGTCTCTACAATAAATCAAAAATTAGCTGGACGTGATGGCACACACCTGTAGTCCCAGCTACTTGGAAGGCTGAGATGGAAGGATCGCCTGAGCCCAGCAGGTAGAGGCTGTGGTGGCCGTGAGCATGCCACTGCCCTGCAGCCTGGGCAACAGAGTGAGACTCCTACTCAAAAAAAAAAAAAAGTCAAATGTCACAGCAACATTCTAACCAAATACACTTTCAATTAATAATAAAGTAACTAAAGTAAAATTCTCAGGATGATAGACTCCTTAAATACTCGGTTCTATTCATTTTGAACTTAGAATAAATTTCTTTCTCCAATTTTTTTTGTCCTGAGTGGCTACAAATGAATGACAATCTATTTTTTAAATATGACATTAAAGACATGTTACAGCAGAGCTGTTTACATATAAATAAGTCATGAACCCTCCAAGTTTTTTTTTGTTTTTTTTTTTAAAAAGAAAGGTTAATTTGCATAATGTAACCAAAAATTAAAATTCTACTTGATTCCTTTGTTACCAGACTCTGGCTGGACACGGTGGCTCACGTCTGTAATCCCAGCACTCTGGGAAGCAGATGCAGGTGGATTACTTGAGCTCAGGAGTTTGAGACCAGCCTGGGCAATATGGCTTTTCTACAAAAAAGTTAAATATTAGCTGGGTGTGATGGTGCACACCTGTGGATCCAGCTACTCAGGATGCTGAGGTGGAAGGTTCGCTACAGCCCAGGAGGTTGAGGCTGCCATGAGCCATGTTCATCATGATCATACCACTGTACTCCAGCACAGGTGAAAGAATGAGATCTCGACTCAAAAAAAACCACATTTTCCTTATAAAAAAAAAATACTAACTCATTTTTGGAGTTTTAAACTCTAATATGCAAAGCTTATTCATTTTTAAATTTCTTTTAATTATTTTATTTTATAGACATGGGGTACAATTCAGGGTTAGGTCTATAAATGTTCATTATGCAGGTACCATTGCTGATGAGGTGTGTGCCCCCCGCCAGATTTCCACTACTGCCAATTCCACAGCATCCTCCCACCCCCCCCCAGCAGCTTCCCGCTAGCAAAGCTTATTCTTAAAGGTTCCAATCTCCCTTCCCACATAATTTTTCTTCCTGCTAGAACACGAAAACAGACAATAAAATTCTGCCATATCTATAATGCAAGAGGAAACCTGGTTTACACAGTACCATGTACTAACAGCTTTGTCTACTTTAATTCTAATATATCAGAGATCTTTATCTAGGTCTCTTCTAGTATTCTGAACTCACTATGGCAGGTACTGGCATACTTATCAATAATCCCTAGTATATTTCTTTCCTTTTCACAAAAGAATATTATATATTGCTGTTTAAATGCTTTTTCTTTTTAATGCTAACACAATGTTTCAATACTCAAAAGGCCTAATCTTCTACTACGGGCTTCATACTGTTAAAATTCTAATCAACTGGTATAATCACAAGTGTATAAAGAGAAAGTTTTTCTTCCGGTTGATATCTTAAGCATATTTTAGTAAAAATTGTTCTGTATAACTGAATGCTAACAATGTTATCCAAAGACAAATAATGACCATTTCTGATTCCCTTAATTATAAGATCTTCTGGATTAACCAGATACAAAGAATTAACTACTCTGAGAAGCCTGCTGAGAACATACATGACTACAAAAGGAAATTCATCAAAAACTGGAACAGTGAAGAGGAAAACCTGGGACACCAAGCAATATAAAATTTACAACCCATCAAGGATGCAAATGTACACAAAACCACCTCAGGACCCTGCACCAGATGTTCCTTCTTCCTGGAGCACTTTTTTTTTTTTTTTTTAGTAGAGACAAGGCAGGTCTCACCATGCTGCCCAAGCAGGTCTTGAACTCTTGGCCTCAGGTGATTCTCGTCTCACCCTCCAAAGTACTAAGATTACAGGCATGGACCACCACACCTGGCCTCCTGGGGCACTTCCACCCGAGATGTCTTCAGACCTCACCCCCTCACTTCCAAAGTCAGCTTCTCAGTGAGGTCTACCCTCGCCACTAGTTACCATCACAAGCCATCCTGCCCCACTCCCATCACTCCTGAATCTCCTTAATGTTTTATTTCTTTTCCATTCAACTTACCTCATAAAATACTACATAATATTCTTAGTTTATTGTAGATTTCTTCTCTTCACCAATAAAACATAAGCCCCACCAATAAAGTGTAAGCCCCACAAGGGTACAAATTTTTGTCTGTTGTGTTGTTCACTGATGTATCTTCAGGGACTAGAAGTGCTTAAAATATAGAAAGCACTCAGGAAGTATCTGCTGAATAATGGCCGAATGAATACACAATTATGCATGTAATAAATAGATCCAAAGTAGTAATGCGTTTGTGTTCCCATTGGATATCAGGCAATAATAAACCTGATTTTAATTAGCTGAGAGGTCATATAAATGTATACACAGTGACATAAATTACTTCACATTTCCCCCTTAACATCTCAATCAGTAACACATAATTACCTGCATCTTCCAATAGAGCACAGAGCAATGGGATCACCCACCACAGCAACCAGGGATTGTGCTCTTGTGATGGCAGTATTGAGAAGCTTGTAGTTAGACAAAAAACCATAATCTAAGTCCTCTGTGGAATCTTCCAGAAGTTGCTCTTTCTTTTTAATTGGTGTCTGTTTATGTTTACAAGTATGTCTTGTACGTACTGTACTAAGAAACAAAACTCTGAATTGCTTTCCTACAAAAAAAATTTTTAAAAGAAGACTTAAGATTGTCATTCTGAACCACTGATATAATAAAAGCATTGCATTTCTTAAAATGTAATTGCTAAGTAACAGACGTTGGTGAGGATGCGAAGAAACAGAAACCCTTATGCACTGCTGGTGGAACTGTAAAAAGGTCAAGTTGCTATGGAACACAACATGGCAGTTCCTCAAAAAATTAAACACAGAATTACCATAAGACCCAGCAATTCCACTCTTAGGTATACACTCAAAAGAAACAAAGGCAGTGACTCAGACAGATATCTATCCACTCATTGCAGCATTATTCACAATAGAAAAGAGATAGAAGCAACCCAAGTGTTCATGAACAGATGAATGGATGAACAAAATGTGGCCTATACATACAATGGATTATTCAGTCTTATAAAGGTGTGAAATTCTGACACATACTACACGATGAACCTTGAAGATATTATGCTAAGTGAAATAAGTCAGTTACAAAAGGACAAATACTATAATTCTACTTATAGGAGATACCTAGAATAGTAAAATTTACAGAGGCAGAATGTAGAAGGGTTATTACCAGGAGGGGAGGCGGAATGGGGAGTTAGTGTTTAATGTGTATGGAATTTCAGTTTGAGAAGATGAAAAAAGTTCTGCAGACGGATGGTGGTGACGGTTGTACAATAATGTAAATCTATTTAATGCTACAGAATTGCACAAATAAAAATGGTTAAAATAGTAAATTTTATGTTATGTACATTTCAACACAATAAAATTTTTTCCAGTGATGTTGCTGGAACCAACCTTAGCAATTATCTAGTGCCAGGTCCACCCAATACAAAGACCCTTCCTTGAAACACGATCATCTAGCTGCTGGCCAACCAGGGTAGACCCTGCTGATTTCATAAGGAAACCTTCAGAGAGTCCAGTTGGTACAATTCTTCTTATGTACTTCTTACAGTAACATATCTATTCAAATCCTCACTGCATGACAAGACTCTAAATATCTGAATGCAAGGTTTATGTCAGTTCTTAATCTTCTCTTTTCTGGTCAAACAATCCTAGTTCTTTGAACAATTCCTGACTGTCATATGGCAGTTTCTAAACCATTAAATATCCGAGATCTCCTCTGGGTACTCTCTAATTCACTACCAATGTTCTTTCTACATTGCTCACTCAAATTCTACATGACGTAGACAACACATGATATAGTGGAGCTATCTTCTCCCTATGATCTGAACACTGTATTACTCTTACTATTGTATATTCCCATGAAACCTAACATTGTTCTGGGCATTTAGAGTTTACGTCATAGTGCTGCCTCATATATTTAAAAGCACAAATTTTATAGCAATTAATTACATGAAGATAATTATAAGAGTTGCTGACAACTATTCACTTGGGAAAGTCTATGGATACAATCTTTATGAAGAAATTAGTCCTCAGATACAGTATAACAGCATGTGTTGTATGCTATTGTGATTGTAACTCAGCATACAGCTATTATATGGCATTTATATAATCATTATTATAGAAAAAGTTCATTTGTTAATACTTCTTTTATTTGGATATAAAAATTTAATAAACATGTAAACGAGCTCAATCTTTAATTGCCAAATTTGGTGTTAAAGAGCTTGATATGAAATGCATATATAACTGCTTGTTCATAAGAGACTTTTCTTGAGCATTAAACTCAAACATGAATACACTTTAAAATTTAAGCATTTGAATGATTTCATTCATTTCAATTAGCACTTACCTTGAACATTTAGCACCCTTTCCACATTAACATCAGATAATCTCTTCTTTCGAAGTTCCGCACGTATCCTAAACACTTGATCCGCATATGGAGTCACCACCCCAATACTGCCATCATCTAACTTCCCCCACGCTACTGGCCACTTCCTTCTTAACTCTTCTACTCGTTCCACCACTTCAAATACCTGTAAACAAACACACATACATATTAAAATTATCACCTATGTTTGGAGAAAAGAGTATGGTAACTGAATAGATTTACAAAAGATTTCATTTTAGCAAATGCCATTTAAAAAACAACTTCTAAATGGAAACAATGCTTTGCTGATATAAACAGAGTGAGAATAAAAAACTGTAATTTCGATTTTAAACAATACAAGCCTACAATAATGCAACCAATGAAAATATGAAAGTCAGAGACAGTACACTTGCACCTTATCCCTCACCCAGGCCCCATTCTTAAGCGGGTTAGGCTTAAGTTCCTGTGAAGGGAGGATGACAGGAAGAGGGCCAGGACACTAGGAACAGCAGGGAAAGCAAGTCCTCACATCCCCAGTGTTTCTCAACCCACTCTCTCCACATCAGGTCCATGACACTCATCAAGCAACCAGAAAATCCCTGTCATCAGTGCCACCATTAAGTCCCAGCAGCACGCAGTTCCAAAGACAGCTTCAGTGCAATAAAGGTAAAGACACAGTCATCCTACTGTTGTTCTATACAACAGCAAATATCTCAGACGCACACACCGCCCAGGGAATCTGAAAAGAAGACATGACATTCTCACTACCAGGAAACTTATATATAGTAGACTCTCTTAGTCTACTGCAGTAAGGAATTAGAAAAAAATGACCTCTTCTTGTGTGGTTAGAAATGGGGGTAGATGAAAGTTGGAAGATACTTCTGCTGCTCCCCCCACAAACAGTTCTTACCACTAAGTAACACATAACCATTTCTCTACTTTATCCCCCTGTAGTGTAGCCACAGATTAAGAATGGGAATATGAGAAGCTTGGGGAAACCTCTCTCCCAAACAGACATAATTCAAGTTGGTCAAAATTGGCACAGGCAATCATTCCAAATCTCTAAAGATGGACCAAAGAGCATGCAAGAAATTGAGAAGCATCTATTCAACAGAATCTACAGACCTGTGGCAGGTCGGGGCATGTGAGCTGGGAACTGCCCCCATAGCTCTGTTCTACAGTGCTGCTCCAATGGCCAAGGAGCAGTTCCCAACTCCCTAGCCCCTGGGGTGCAGGAACTGTTCCAGGAGGTTTCGGCAACGGATAAGCACCTGCAGATTCCTCCAAGCTCTGTGCTGCAGAGGCCTGTGTTGAGCAGGTGGTAGTGCCTGTGCTCCAACCCCCATCTCCTGCTTTACACAGGGCGTGGGACAGCAGGTGAGAGTATTGCAGGAAAGCTGACCCCATGGGCCTGGCGGCCCATGAACAACTCCCAGCTTTGCCAGTGTCTGAGGACAGAAGCCCTATCCCGGTACACTCAGCAGCCAGTGAATATCAGCAGATGCCAAGCTCTCCGGCTGGGTGCAGAAGACCCTCACTGGGTGGTAGCAGCAGCATCACCTGGATGGCAGCACAGGGTACACATAGGACAGACGCAGGTTGGGGCAAGCAGTGAACCCATGCTCCTCCAATATCCGCTCCATAAGTTTTGCCCAGGAGAGCATAAGAAGAAGCCTTGCAAACTGGCAAAACTCTGCTCTGGGCCACAGGCCCATCTTCCATTGGATCACAGTGTGGAGCAAATTCTGTCCCGGGGAATTGAAAAGTAAAATAACTGAAATGAAATTTTTACTAGTGGGACTCAGTTGTAGATCTGAGCTGACAGAAGAATGAATCAGCAAACATGAAGAAGATAGGGATTATGCAATATGAAAGAAGATAGAGAAAAAATAATGAAGGAAAAAGAACAAAGCAGCAGAGAAAGGTAGAACACCATTAAGCAGATGAACATGTATACAATGGGAGAACAAGAAGGAGAACAAAGAAAGGAGCAGAAGAATGCTCAAATAAATAATGGTTAAAAATGTTCCACAATGATCTACAAATTCAAGCTCAATGAACTTCAAATAGATTAAATTCAAGGAGATCATACCCAGACACATCACAGTCAAAATTAACATCAAAGACAAAAAAAAAATCTTGAAGACAGCAAGAACTCTTCATTTACAAAGAAATTCCAATATGATTAACAGATTTCTCATTAGAAACAATGAAGGCCAGAAAGCAGTAGGAAAACATATTTTAATAAGCTGAGGGAAAAAACCAACAATCTTATACTCTCTAAATCTACCTTTCAAAATGAGAACAAAATAAAAGCATCCCCAGATAAACAAAAACTGAGAGAATTCCTTATTAATAACAGGCTTCCCTTACAATAAATATTAAAGTTCTTCAGGCTGAAAGCAAGTGGCACAAACAGTAATTCAAATTCACACAAACAAAGAACACTGGTAAAGGTAATCACATGGGCAATTACACAAGACAGTATAGCAGCTTCTCCTTTTTCCTCTTAACTGATTTAAAGAACTGCATAAAATCATATGTACATAATATATTGTTAGGCTACAGCATATAGAAATGTAATATGTTCGACAATAACAGCACAAAGGAGGCAGGTGAAAAATGACATCAGATGGTAACTCAAATCCATAAAGAAAAGTGAAAAGAATCAGTATATAAGGTTAATATAGAAAACTCTATAAATATGTACTTCTCCTCCTTTCTTTTCTCAGAATTTTTTAAAGACATGAAATCATAGAAAGTAATAATTATAACAAGGTACTGTTGAGTTTGTAATATACAGTAATAACATGTATAACAATAATGGCACAAAAAGGGGGGAAGGGAATAGCGCTATGTAAGAGTATAGTTTCTGTATCTCATGGGAATCAATTTAGCATAAATTTGAAGTAGATTCTGATAAGATGTGTATTGTAAGCCCTAGAAAAACCACTAAGAAAACAACTCAGAAAAATAAATAATTAAGGAATCAAAACGTGACACTAGAAAACATGCACTTAATACAAAAGAAGGCAGTAAAGATCATACAGAAGGTCAAAAAATATATGAGATAAAGGAAAAAATCCAAAGGCAGAGGTAAATGCAGCCATATCAATAATAACATTAAATGTGAATGGTTTAAACAACCCAATCAAAAGGCAAAGATTTTCAGACTAGATTTAAAAAAAAATACATCCAATGGCATGCTGTCTATGGGAGATGCACTTTAGATTCAAAGATGTAAACAGGATGAAAGTAAAAGAATAAAAAAAGATATACCATGCAAACAGCAACCATAAACAAGATGGAGTAGTTATAATACTATCAGACAAATCAAACTTAAAACAAAAAATATTACTAGAAATAGTTTTTTGGGTTTCTTTTGAGACAGCATCTTACACCGCCACACACGCTGGGGTGCAATCACAGCTCACTATAATCTAGACATCCTGGCCTCAAGTGATCTACCCTCTCTGGCCTTCCAAAGCACTAGGAATAAAGGCATGAGCACTACACTGGGACTAGGAGAAACATTTTAAAATCATAAAAAGGTCAATTTGCTAGGAAGATATAACAATTATAAACATACACACGGCCGGGCTCGGTGGCTCTGCCTGTAATCCCAGCACTTTGGGAGGCCGAGGCGAGTGGATTGCCTGAGCCTGTGGGTTCGAGACCCGCCTGGGCAACTAGGTGAGGCCTCGGCTCTACAATAAATCAAATATTAGCCAGGCGTGGTAGTTCCCGCTACTTGGAAGGCTGAGGCGGAAGGACTGCCGGAGCCCAGCAGGATGAGGCTGCGGTGGTCAGGAGCATGCCACTACACTTCAGTCTGGGTGACAAAGTGAGACTCCAACTCAAAAAATAAAAATAATAAAAATAAACATACACACAATGTGCTACAGTCTCTCAAAACATATGAGGCAAAAATCGTGTTCTCCTCTATGGTTCAGGCCCCAGCAACACGTGATGGATTCACGTGTTGTATCTGCACAACTCTGTCTACCTCTCACACCTTACTATCTTACGGTTACTTTCCAGAGCTCCTCTCTTCAAACTGAATTTCTCAAGGTCTTCACATCTTGGTGCTTAGCATTTAAATTGTGCTTTTTTTTCCCAACTTGGCATTAAATTGAAACCATTTTATTACTGTAGGATATAAATCCAGAATCATATAAAAAAGAACGATCTTTCTGAATCTCTTACCATTTTAAGCATTAAAGAGACATAAGTTCAAATGATGTACAAAGCACAGGATATAAAATAAAAAACATGTTCTCTAAACAAAAGAAAACTATATACAGCAAAAATGCCATGAGTATTCCTTCTACTTCAGTTTGAAGGTTATCTAATTTTACTTTTAATTCCAACTCATTCTAAGTTCATTCTGATTTAACTCTGTGTTAGCTACCTTATTTTCATAATAGTGGAAGGTAGACTATTGTCAAATGCCCTCCTACATTTTAGTCAGAATCTTTGTTAAAGAAGAGACCTTATTTTTCCCCATCAATGCAACTGACACCACTTGCTCTGCTTGCTCTATAACACAACACAGATTTGAGGTTCACTTTAAGTTATACACCATTAAGGAAAACCCAGGGTGTATGAAAACATTTTATTTTCCAAATATATCTTCACTGGTATCCAAATATGCCTATTCTGGCATTCAAAATTTTTAAATGCTTACACTGGTGTTCAACTGAGATAAACAGGATCAGTTTTTGCTCCTTGGAGAAAAAGACCCTGGGACGATATGTCTCAAAATTTTTGACTGCAGTAACTTCTGGGGTTGAAGAGAGGGCTGAAGAGAGTGAATGAACAACCATGCTCTGGTGCCTTAGAACGTCTCTGAAGTTACATGTTTAATATTTACAGGTCATTGGCTGAGCACGGTGGCTCACACCTATAATCCCAGCACTTTGGGAGGCCAAGGTGAGAGGACTGCCTGAGCCCACGGGTTTGAGACCAGCCTGGGCAACTTGGCAAGACCTCGTCTCTACAATAAATCAAAAAATTAGCTGGACGTGGTGGCGTGTGCCTGTAGTTCCAGCTACTTGGAAGGCTGAGGTGGAAGGATCACCTGAGCCCAGCAGGTTGAGGCTGCGGTGGCCGTGAGAGTTCCACTGCACTGCAGCCTGGTGACAGAGTGAGACTCCAACTCAAAAAGAAAAAAAAGACCAAAAAAACAATATTTACAGGTCACACAAATGCTGTCCTGTGTGTTCTTTTAACATGAATAAACATATTTTTCCAAAAAAAATTTTTAGCAAAATTGATAGCCCAGGAAGATACACCTTATTTATCCTACAGCTTCCAAGTTTCTTGGGGAACACCATGACACTGTTAGTGAACAAGTAACCCAGGCTGAGAAACTGAGTCTCTGGTAAACATCAAGCCTGGCTCAGGATCAAGAGGGAGCAAAAATCAAGGCTCAGTTGACCCTGATGTCACGGCAGGACTACCAAGTTTTCTGGACTTCAGGCCCTGCTTGCTGCTCCCTGTCAGCCCTCCATTCTTTCCATGGCTGGTTTCTAGGCCAGCCTGAATGGAAAAATCATAAAGAAGAAGCCGGGATCGGTGACTCAGCCTGCAATCCCGCGTCTTGGGAGGCTGAGGTGAGTGGAATGCCTTAGCCCGTGGGTTCAAGACCCACCTGGGCAACTTGGCGAGACCTCATCTCTACAATAAATAAAAAATTAGCTGGGCGTGGTAGCGCACACCTGTAGCTCCGGCTACTTGGAAGGCTGAGGCGGAAGGATCGCTAGAACCCAACAGGTCGAGGCTGCGGTGGCCAGGAGCGGCCATGGCACTCCAGTCTGGGCGACAGAGTGAGACTCCAACTCAAAAAAAAAAATAAAGAAGACCCCTAGAATTATTTTCAATAACTCAAATATTTAAGGAAATATTTACCTTTTCCTAATACTAAATGACATTTCCTAATATTAAAAATGTCGTTACTACCTACATTCTCTCAACTTAAAAAGGTAAAAATTATAAGAGAACTATATAAGTTGGAGCACATGATTAAATTGTATCGTGCATATTCAAATGGGGCATTTTATTCATTCATTCATTTATTTATTTTTATTTTCGAAAACAAGATTTATTGAAAAGATAGAAAAGCTTTCACAGTGGGAGAGGACCCGAGGAGGTTGCCTGAGGCATCCTTTTAAAAGAGAAACACTTGAACTGCAGAATCTGTACTCCAAAGAGATCACAGAGACCCAGATACCAGTGTTATCCCATTATGCTCAACTTATATCATTCTTTAGGGGTTAACAGGCGAGAGACCCTGGGATTATGGTTATGGCCATCACAGGGGAGTGGAGTTTGTTGAGAGATCAAATACATACCTAACAACAATGATCTATTTGAGAACAATGTTGGCTTTTCTTTTAAATGAAATCATGTATTTTGTGTTTTATGAATCATAAGATAAAAAAGTACATCTAAGCTTTTGTTTCTCATAAAAAATTTGGGTCTTCACAAGTCAATGTTATGCAAGAAAGAATAAACAGTTCATGTAAATGAAGGCAACACACAATAAAATATCAACTCAAAATTTTAAATAAATGCTCAACAAAATCAGACAATGTTACTAAGAAAATGTTAGCAATTTGCAAAAAACAACTAAAGTACCTCTGCATTATTATAAAAAGCTGTGCTATTTTTTTCTTGTACATCTTCCCCTCGTGCTGTAAAGAAAGTTAGTGGGTAGAAATCTTTGTGTGCTGGTTGCTTTCCACTGGCCATCAGTTTGCCCTCGTAGAAAAGCTCAGAGGTATAACTGCCAAAAAAGAAAAAAAAGAGTAATCTGTCATCGAAATTGATTTCACTCAAAAGAAAAAAAATCAGTCAATTCTAATAATATTGCTTTATGTCCATGGTTAATTTCAGTCCAAACATCTCATACTCATCAAGAATTTCTCCAAAAATAGTAACAGTAGGCTACTGGTATGATATTATTAAATGGAAAGATTTTGGTAAGGTATGAAGCCAGAATGGAAAGAAAAGGAAGAAATGATAACAGTTCAATATGAGATGAGACCTTTACTCTATGAGGAAATTTGCTAGCCAATCTATTTTCTTGGTTAATATATATTTTTATTTAAGTGGATCACATACAGTCATGTATCACATAACGATATTTTGGTCAATGACAAACTATATACATGATGTTGGACCCATAAGATCACAATACAGTAGTTTTACCATATCTTTTCTATGTGTAGATACACAAATCTTTATCACTGTATTACAACTGTTTACAGTATTCAGTACAGTGACATGCTATACAAGTTTGTAGCCTAGGAGCAACAGGCTACATCACATAGTCTAGGTGTTGTAGTAGGCTATGCCATTAAGGTTAGCATAAGTACACTCTGTGATGCTCACATGACAAAACACCTAATGACACATTCCTCAGACTGTATCTCTGTCACTAAGCAATACAGGACTGTATTAATACATGCAAACACACATATATACAGACATGGAAACAGTGCACACAACTGGGACAGTCAAGTCTTCAACCGCAAAATGAACCGACTTTACTGATGAAGATTCCATTTAGTATTTAACTCACCACTGACTATAGTAAATGACTGACAACAATAACAGAATCACATTTTGAGATCTGCTTTCAGAGTAGCTTAATGCTTTTCACATGACTGACATAATAAATTTTATTGAATTATTCTAAACTTTTAAAAAGTATAGTAAGTTTCTGGTGGGATAGTGTATGGAAAGGATCACAAAGGGGCTTTCCAAAGTCCTGGTAATAGGGGGGCCACCCCTTATCAACAAGGGTGCCTGAACGATGCATATTTGTATACCTAACCCTTAACTGTACCCCACAATTTTAAAATAAAAAATATGTTTAAAAAAAAAAAACAAGGTCCTGGTAATATTCCATTTCTTCACCCAGATGCTGGTTACATAGCACATGCAGGTTGTGACTATTCACTGAGCTGACACAGTATGTTTACTTTACAGATGTATTCTATATTTAACAGAAATATTTTTAAAACTTATTAATAAGTTTTGTGGTTTTTCTTCCTCCCTTTCTTCTTTCCTTTCTTTGTCAATATATTTATTACAGCATGTAGTTTTTTGTATAGGTTATATATTTAGTCACAAAAAAATGTCATAACTAACACAACCTAGAGTTTTAGTTTCCAGAATTGTCCTTTTCTATGAAAAATTTTACAGCTCTGACTTTTGAAGTTTTCTTTTAACGACATAAAATTAAATAGAAATTTGCAGCAGCAGGGACACTGCATAACTCTGTTGGGAGTTCTCTGCCCTCAGTAACAGTGCCGTTTGGAGCGCCCTCTGACCAAACCACAGAAAGTGTGGTACAGAGGGGCAGTTCACACCTACTTGATGATAGCTTCATGGGAGCGGTAGTTCTCACACAGGAGGATCCGACATGGAAACTCGGCAGGGTAATGCTCATAGAGTCGGTCAAGTAATGAAACGTGAAGGTTTCTTTCCCTGGCAAATTCACTGTAAACAAAAGGACTGAGCTGTAACAGACAAACATACAGAGAAAATTTAACCGAATGTAAAAATAGTCTTTTTAAATTTACTTCTAAAAAAATTTGCTATGCTAAAACTTCAGATATGCCCCCAACATGCTACATGTGGGAGCAAACAAAATCAATTATATTTTCTGTGAGTAATTTTGCTACTATTAACAACTTGGTTAAAATTTCTAACTCTTCACTGCAGTATACCAACACTAACCTAGAGTTTCTACACAGAGGTTAATAAAGGGCTCCTCCAATGTAATAATAAATCACGCCTGCTTCAGCAATTTCACAAATGCAATCTATGGCATCACTGGATGAGTCAAAAATAGTTACTTCACTAAAGTGATCAATTATTTCCACTGATAAGCTGGTAGGACATTCAGCCTTAATAACTAACAAAACAATCCTTGATTATGTCTTTTACTACTAAAAACAAAATTAAACTACTTTGGGCACAGACACATAAATTGAATTTATTCCTCTACATTCAACTCTTTCCTGAATGTCCCGACAGCTGTAATATCATGTAGGTACAATCTTAATCAACTGTGCAGAAGAGAAAAAAAATGCCAAACTGCAAATTTGTAAAATAGAGATCTTAATAGAAAAATTTTATTTTTCTTTGTTATATATAGAGACATAAAATCAGCTATATTCTTTGAAATTTTGACTACAATTTTAATTAAGGTCTCTTGTTTTCTGATATCAAAAAATTAACCCTTCAGGTAAACAAATATTAAAGAACAGAAGTTGAGGAATTATAGAAATGATCATTTAAATTTTGTTTGATAAATAAAAGAATCTTGATATTGGATTTAAAGTCTGTCTAACATACTCAGTGATCGATCACAGAAACAAAGAACAGAGCACCGCATGTTCTCACTCATAAGCGAACTCTGAACATCTACCATAACACTATAAGAAAGGGACTGGCAGTAGTGGGATGCTGCCGGGAGGGAGGGGAGTGGAGAAGGAATGACACATCAACAAGGGTGCCTGACCACAAACCAGGCAAACTGGGGACCGAAGGGAGGTCCAACATTTTCCTGTACGATGACCACTTGTATGCCCGATCCTGAATTACACCCCACATCTTTAAATAAATGAATAAATAAACAGTGCAGCAATCAAACAAAGAAGAAATCTGATATCCACAATAAAAAAGGAATCTGATATCCATAATATAGAGAACTGAGCTTCAAATTAATAAACCTGAAAAGTATAACACTGATTGACACTCACTCATTCCAAACTGTTCATCCAAATAAAGAAGAAAAACAGAGTGGGGGAATAGTAATGTTTTATTCAGAATGACCAGTATTTCTCACTTAGTAGAGAACTATTTAAAGTACTTAAACTATAAAGCATGGCACAACTTCTCAGGACATTTTAGAAGACAGAGTATTAGGCACCAAATCACAACCAGAAGTTGCTTTCCACATGGTGACTCAGAGGGCACTTACCTGCATGTGATCACCAGCCAAGACAACCCGAGTGTTTTTAGTCGCTAGTGCTAGAGGCATAATGGTTTCACACTCCATAGCCTGGGCAGCTTCATCTAATAGAATGTGTGTGAAAAACCCTAGAAATACAGCGTAACCACATTAATGCACATTACAGCAGCAAGAAAGGCAGAAGCACTGTAGTTATCTTCTTGTCTGCTAAAGAAAGAGTATAGCTTGCTACCCTAAGAATGCCTGTCCTCAGTTTAGACAACTGTCAATTTAAAGGCAACTAAATGCTGACAGTCCCAAAGCCTTTTCACTGTTTATTTAGTAAAATAACACATATAAAACAAAGGTAGCTCATAAGTAATTCTACCCTAAACATGCATATTAGACATTAAAATAAAGAAAATCACCCCAAAATCTAATATAAAGGAGAAAGTTATAATCGAACTTGGATTGAAAACAAAGAGCATCTTATTAGCAAATTCACTAATTTGATTGTTTAGATTTATTTTACATATATACTTATATGTGGATATATATTATATGTTATATATGTAAATAAATAAATATATATATATATATATATATGACCCTACCTTGATTTTTAAAAATCACTGTTCTGCAAAAATGATGACTGATAACAAATGTAAAAAATGTACATTCTCGGCCAGGTATGGTGGCTCACATCTGTAAACCCAGCACTATGGGAGGCCGAGACAAGAGGACTGCTTGAGCCCAGGGGTTCGAGATCAGCCTAGGCAACTTGGCAAGCCCTTGTTTCTTTTTCTTTTCTTTTCTTTTTTTTTTTTGAGTTGGAGTCTCACTCTGTCGCCCAGACTGGAGTGCAGTGGCCGCTCCCGGCCACTGCAGCCTCGACCTGCTGGGCTCCGGCGATCCTTCTGCCTCAGCCTTCCAAGTAGCTGGAATTACAGAGCCCTTGTTTCTATAACACATTTTAAAAATTGGCTGGGAGTGGTGGCATGCACCTGTAGTTCCAGCTACTTTGAAGGCTGAAGTGGAAGGATTACCTGAGCCCAACAGGTGGAGGCTACCGTAGCCATGAGGGTGCCATTGCACTCCAGCCTGAATGACAGTGAGAATCTGATTCAAAAAACAAAAAAATTAAAAAGTACATTATTGAGGCCAGGTGCAGTGGCTCACGCCTGTAATTCCAACACTTTGGGAGACCAAGGAGAAAAGGATTGCTTGAGTCTAGGAGTTTGAGACTAGCCTGGGCAACATAATGAGAACTCAATCTCTTAATTTAAAAAAAAGTATATTATCAAGTGTCCCCCACATGCAGACACCTACAGGAGGAGCTACACGCTGGCTGCTGCTGCCACCACCCATCCAAAGGCAAAGGGTTCTTCTGTGTGTAGGAAGGAGGTTAAATTTCCTTTGCTGCTAGGAGGGGGAAACGAGAAAAAACTCTCCTTGGTGTCTCAATGGAGAGAAAAGATGCCCTTACTGCCAGCTTAGTGAGGTAGGGAGAAGGCGGCTCTCTTGTGACTTACAGAGCAAAGGAAGCAAAGTGCTTTCTTGACAGAATGGACAGTTAGTTATACAACTCTAGACTACAGTGGCATTATGGATCAATCAAGAATCCAGTGACTGGCTCAGGAATATAACCTCTATTTCTATCCCTGTTTCTACAAATATTAACAAGTTCCAAACAATCTGCTAACACAATACTCTCAGGCAACCTGTTTTTAAGTTGAGAACTTTTAAAATCTTATCAATCAGCGGTAATAACCACCAGTACCATCCATTCAAACAAATGGCTACAGCTGACAGGACAAGCATCAACAGCTGGCCTCTATTCACCAACAGTGGTCTAAGCATGTTACAGACACATGCATTTTTCTCCTATTGAGGGGAATTTGTACTTTTTTTATACAAGACTAATGAAAGAAAATAATCTTATATACAGGATCAAATTGAAAAACTGAAACTAATAAAAAAAAAAAAAAACCTGTTTTCATTAGATAACATTTTAATTAAATATAGCTAAGCCTGCACCAAGAACTGGATAAATCACGAAACAGTTATGACTACTGCTTAAGCTACAAAAGGTAACTTGACTTAATCAAAGTGACTTAGTCTGAGCCTTCCTTTTCATATCTATGAAATACCCCTCCATAGAGTTGATATAAGAGTTAAATGAAATAAAGTATAAACAACATCCAGGACAAAGGACCTAGTCGACTTTCAGTAAGTATTATTGGACTCTACATCTTCAAAGCTTTTCTTTACTCTTTCTTATAAAACTATACTGCTTAAGGTTTGGATTTCTAAACTATATGGCAAATATGCAGAGTATAATCATAATATAATGAGACTGACTGTTAAACAGACATACCAAAATTTACATTTCAAATACGTGTCATTCCATTCAAGTCCCTTGGGATGAAATATAACTTATTCCACTGATGCCACCACTGCTCAAAAACATTTTTGAAACTCTGCTTTTGTAACTGCCCTCACCAGCCAGCTATGAACTGCATGCACAAGAAAATAACTCTCATTACACGAGAGGCATGTATCACTCAGTTTGATCACCTGTCTCCTTCATCAGACAGGTCTCAAAAAACTGTTGAAGCCTTTCTAAAATTAAATCGATACTGAATAAAAATGCCTGATCCCTATTTCTTCATGTAAAATATATAGACACTTATCAAGGGCCTCTAGGTGTCTAGACCCTGGGTCAGGTACCAGGAATATAAGGTGAAGAGAACAGTCTCTACCTTCCAGGGACTCAGATGTTCAAAAGAATATGCCATTGGTTCTGAAGGCAATTCAAAAAAAGACAGCAAAAAAGTGTTGAGCAGTGTCAACAATTATGATATGGCAGCACGAAATGAATATTCCTCCAAAGCATCAACTTTGCAGTGACACTACTTTTTGATGGTTAAATTATGCCGTATTTACCACAACAAATTCTTGTCAACTTACATCTGTACTTGGCATAACACTAGTTTGATTTTACATAGTTCCTGTACCTAAATGTAATAATCCTAATAGTATATAAACAATTCTGTCATGATTGTCTCCACACTATATAATGCAAAAGTATTTTATGATAGACTTGAGAAAATTGTGAAAAATACCAGCACTGTCCAAACTCCAATTCTTCATATGACCAAATATGTCAAATATATAAATACCACCTGATTAATTAGAAAACAAATGGAACAGCAGTCACTAAAATGTCTAAACTAGGGACTGGCAAAATTCCTTCAGCAAAGGACCAAACCGTATACATTTTTTTTAACCCTTTGCACTCAGAGACATCTCACAGATCACCTACCAGCAACTCAACCGCGCTTTTTTACAAAATAGTGAAAAACGAATCATTTCATATTAAGTAGCATATATAGCATAGGAGTCAGTTAATTTATTGTAATGATATTTGGCTTATAATGGAATTCTGGACATTGAGGAATTTATTGATGGTCAAAAAAAATCAAAATTTTATATATTTTTCTAACCCGTAATAACGCGTAAAACAGTCACCGAAAAGCATTGCAGGCTCATTGATACATGTTGTGCAATAGTAATTTGTTGGACATCTTCCACCTGGTGTTTTTCTATTTGAGCAGAAAATGCAATCTTGTTTTCTTCCTCCCACATTAATATGTAATTTATTGTCCAGTCTGTGCACCACTGTGAAAGAACTTTAGCCTTTTTCTACATAACACCAGCTGATTTTTTTTACATATATCTCAGTATCTATTCCATTTCTTTATTCGTTTTGTGCAATTTAAATGGAAAACTTCAAGGAAAGACAGTTTTGAAAAATTTGAGCTGGCGTAAGTCTGTCCTGTATAATCATCAGTAATCTCTTTGTGTCCCCTCAGAGGGGACTTCCAAGTGCAAAGGGTTAAATTTTGTGGGCCATGTAATCAATCCCCTGCTGCAACAATTCAGCTCTCAGGTGCCTGTAGCACAAAAGAATCCACAGACAATAGTTAAATAAATCGGCATGGCTGTGTTCCTTCCAATAAGATTTTATTTACAAAAACAGGCAGTGAGTCAGATTTGACCCACAAGCTGCAGACTGCCACACCTTAGTCTAAACTGAATTCATTAACCCTAAACTTATAAGACACCAAATCTATATCTTCAGTTAGCATACCAGGTTCAAGGTCCAACTGACAGAGGTACTGGGAAGTATTCAATGTAACCACCACCACTCGATGTTTAAGAATATCTTCTTTCTGGGGCATCTGAAAGGTGGAATGTGTGCTTGAGATCAAACAGTACTGATGTACAACTGGGTGGACTGTCTTTACCCAGCGATTTCTGAAATATACCCTAAAAAAAGAAGATAAAATTTCTGATTTACTAATATCTTAATGGCATTTGGCTATTAAAATATTGACATTGTTATTTAATACTTTAATATCTGAAAATTAACAAACAAATTTGATAGCTGTTAACACTCTACTGAATTAGAATTTAACATACAACTGTTACTATATCCACTGTGACCCCCTACCAAAAAAAAAAAAAGATGGATACAGAAAATATATACACTACCCAAAATTAAATACCTAATTATTTTTAAGAGTTCAGATTAATTTTGCAACAGAATGACACATAAAAATAAGTATTATAAGTATTATGGTTTTTTAAGTTCAATACACTCCTATTCTAGAATTATTTTTTTCTATAATATTCTCACAAAAATATACGGGACTCATATTTTAATTATTTATGCGAATAAGAAATAGTGACCTGCATACTTATAACAGAAATTCAGAAGCTATTTTCATTTTACTTAAGGATGTATTCTCATACCTATATTTAAATAGACCTCTGCTTGAGGGTCTGAAATTTTAAAAATAAATTTAAGTTTTAAATGACCAGAATGTCTTAAGAAAGTGCATCTCTCCCATCAATTGCAAAAGAAATTTATACAACAGATTACTAAGACAGCACAGAAATGGCTCATCCATCCATTCATCCACCACCACCCATATCTAATCCACCCAGTAACTGAGATTTATGCTCTAGCACAGGGGCAGATGACATGGGGCTTGTGAGCGACCAGTCACAAGGGTTCTGGATTTACTGAGCTTAATGAAAACCTGTCAGAGTGTTCTGATGGGGCAGTCACATACATGGCTTGTGTTGTTAAAGAGCTACTCTGTTTCTCTGGGGGGCAGTATATGGGACCTGGTGAACAGTGGTGGCTGTAGAAATGGGCGACTTTGTACTGTTTGCTGATTCCTGTGGTGTAAAAATTACCCTCCTGGCCAATTTCACACTACAAGCAAGGTGTCACTGAACACGAACTTGGGAAGACATGTACATGATCAGCTCTCACAAGCTAGTACAAGTTGGAATGGAGGCAGAGGCAGGGTGTAGAAACAAGGAGACCAGTTAGGAGGTTATTGTAAGGGTCTGGACAAAAGAAGATGATGACTTGGACTAGGGTGGTAACAGCAGAGATATGAAAAAGGTCAGATTCACTAGACATTTTGAGAGTAACGTTGACAGAATCTGCTGATGAACTAGATGTGGAATCCAAGAGAAAGGATGATTCCAAGCCTTTGAAATGGGATGGATGGTGGTGGCGATTACAAAGGTGACAGAAGAGAGGAACAGATTTGGAGTAGAAATTGAGAGTTGAGTTTTAGACACATTCAGTAGACATCCATGCGGAGATACTCAGTAAGCAGGGTAATATATAAGTTTGGAGTTCAGGAGAACGCCGGAGGCAAGAGATATACAACTGAGAGAAATCCTGAAACTGGATGAGATCACCTGGAGAGTTAGATAAAAAAGAGGCGAGTGTAAGAAAGAATGACTCCAACATTTAAAGGCTGAGGAAAGGAAAGAGAAATAGTAAAGGAGACTAGGAAAGAGCAGTCAATGCAACAGGAAAGAACCCAGAAGAGTGGGGTGCGGGGTAGGGGAGCTACTGGAAGCAAAATGAAGAACGTGTTTCAGAGCAAAACAGACAGGAGAAACTGTGTCAAGAGCTGTTAAGGAGCTGAGTAAAATGAGGTCAGACCACAGGACTCAGCAACAAGGAAGCCACTAGGACAACCTCAATATGATGGCTTTCGAGTAAAAGCAAGGATAGGAGTCTGATTCGCTTAGGCCCAAGAGAGAAAAAGAAGTTCTGCCTCAAGGAACACAGATGAAGTCAAGGTGAGTTTTCGGTCTTTCTAAACAATAGGAACATACTAGTATATGTATATGCCGGCGGGGGTGGGGGGGCGAACCATGCAGATGAGGAGACGCTGAGTACCAAGGAAAGGGAAGAGCTCACTCACAAAAAAGGCAGAAATCAGGAAGGAGCAGGCACAGCTTAGAACGAAAGGGAAAGTAGCTGTTTAGCAGATGCAAATCAAATGGAGGATGTGTCAAAGGGAAGCTGTGAACATTCGCTCTTGATTGCGTCTCCTTCTTTGGTGAAATTACAAAGGTTAACAACCGAGTTTTATTTTTAATCACTATTATTCCTTTTTCATAGTTAAAAAGCTGAAGTGCTTACAGCCAGGACTCTAACATATATTCTTGCCCTCCTCTCTATGCCTCATTTCTTATTTCCAAAAGGTACATAGTAATCCAACCTCTGAAGGGTTTGGGAAAATCGAATGAGATACACACAGCATGTAGCACAACGCCTGGCCCCTACATACAGAAGTTCCTCACTTCCTTCACCCTTCATAGCAAAGCTGAAACTAAAACTGGCATTTTGAAACACACAGTTAATATTCAAAGTACATGCACAAATGCAAAAATGTAACATCATGACATGAATACAAGCAATCAAAACAATTAAGTTAAAAGACCCGCTGTTTACACCTTCCAAAAGAATATATTATGAGAAGTAGTTTATTTAATAAGCCATCATACTAAACAAAAAGATTCCAAAGAGGTTAAAGCAAAATCTGGTGCTTGATTAGTATACTTTCAGTTGTCTAATTCTTTGCTAACAATTACCTTTTCTCAAAGAGCAACATTTGTTATCAGGCTCTTGTTTCTTTGTATTAATGGCTTTCAATTTTATGGCCTCTGTACATTCGACTAGAGCTAACATATTATTTTTGGAAGCAAAGCAAAAATGTTTTTCAAAACGTAACGGTTTTTACTGTCTGATAGTTACAACTTGTAAATAACTTGTTTTTCTTAGACACTGGAATTTTATAATATTAAATCTTACAAATTGCTATTAGAAGTCAATTGTACGTATTTCTGGGTTTTTTTCTTTTTGTGGAGTCAAGGTTGCACTATGTCACCCAGGCTGTAGTAGAGTGGCATGATCAGGATTCACAGCAGTCTTGACCTTGGCTTGGGCGATCCTTCTACCTCACCATCCCAAGTAACTGGAACTACAGGTACATACCACCATGCCCAGCTAATTTTTAAAATTTTTTTGTAGAGACATGGTTTCACTATGTTGCCCAGGCTGGTCCCGAACTCCTGGGCTCAATCAATCCACCGGCTCCAGACTCCCAAAGTGCTGGGATTACAGGTGTGAGCCACCATGCCCAGCCTAAATATTTATTTATTAAATTTAAAAATTAATATCAAAATATTTTTAAATTCTTCAAACCAAACTACAACTGAGTTCATTTTTCCAATCAATTCAAGACCATGCTTGAAAGTGATATCAGGTGTGGGGAAAAATATAAATAATGTAGATAAATCTTGACTTAAATTTTACTCTATGTAAAATTACTTTCTTCAAAAGGTAAGTACTAGCTCACACAAAACATCTCTAGATGCATAAAAGTTAATCATGAAATAAATCCTGATTCTGGCTTACCTGTCTAAATACTCAATTTATTGGTAAGTCAACGTTAAAGCAAAACTACAGAGTCATACTTTCAAACTAGAATTTAACCCATCCCCAGATAACCTTTTACAGCTGATAGTGAAATAAAGGCATTTTCAGATATGCAAGAGCTCAAAAATATTTCCTCTTATGTACCATCTCATAAAGGTTGAAAACATTAAAAAGTGCATATACACTAAAAAGTTTTGTACCACCAAAACAAGATTTAAAAAAATCAAGAGAGGAAGACCTAAGATCTAGGAAACGGAATCTAATACAGGAGAAAAAAGTAATAGCAAAGTAATAGCAAAGAGAAGCACCAATATACAAAGAACAAACTAGTTCAGAAAGGAGGAGCAAGTTAAAATCCAGGAGGAGGCCGGGCTCGGTGGCTCAGCCTGTAATCCCGCGCCTTTGGGAGGCTGAGGTGAGTGGGTTGCCTGAGCCCGCGGGTTCGAGACCCGCCTGGGCAGCGAGACCTCATCTCTACAATAAATCAAAAAATCAGCTGAAAAATCAGCCGGGTGTGATAGCGTATGCCTGTAATTCCGGCTACTCGGAAGGCTGAGGCGGAAGGATCGCCGGAGCCCAGCAGGTCGAGGCTGCGGTGGCCGGGAGCGGCCACTACACTCCAGTCTGGGCGACAGAGTGAAACTCCAACTCAAAAAAATAAAATAAAATAAAATCCAGGAGGGAAGTCTCCAGGACAAAGAAAAAAAATAGCACTGATAAATTATCTAAGAGCTTTGACAGTATACAAACTTGCTTTGAGAGGTATTTACAGAGTTATTTAGGGTATGAAGACCTGGTCAGATGTTCAAAGAAAATGAAACAAATGAAAAAGAAAAATAAGTATTATTAATGCTAGAACAAAAAAAAAAAGGACATGAAAAGAAATATATATATTATTGAGCAAATAATTTACAGAATCATAATAATAAAAACACTAAAAATGAAGTTACCATAATAGAAAGTCAATGGATATCCAAAACCAAATTAAGATACAGCAGTTTATAATATATATGTCACACTTTTTTTTATATATTGCATACATATATAATTATTTTTTAATGGGAGTAAAACTCAGGAGAAGTAACTAAGAGAGTTGAAAGTGCCTGCCTTTGGGAATCATGTTTGGCAAGCAGTTGGTTAGGTAAGAAAAACACATTTTTTTTGCTATCAACTTTAAAATACAATGTGACCTTTTATAAGACTCTATGCATGTGATTTTTAAAATAAACATAAATACTAATCTAAAACAAAAGCCACCTATTTGAATACTTATGGAGAAACAAATTGTTGATATTTGAATTTAACCTCTCACTTATAAACAGCTTTGTAAAATTAAAATTGCCTGAGCCCGCGGGTTCGAGACCCGCCTGGGCAGGCGAGACCTCATCTCTACAATAAATCAAAGGAAAAAAAAAATGAGCCGGGCGTGGTATCGCACGCCTGGAGTTCCAGCTACTCAGAAGGCTGAGGCGGAAGGATCACCGGAGCCCAGCAGGTCGAGGCTGCAGTGGCTGGGAGCGGCCGCTGCACTCCAGTCTGGGTGACAGAGTGAGATTCCAACTCAAAAAAAAAAAAAGAATTCTCTCACATCTCCCACTAAAAAAGAGCCTTCATCTAACTCCCCATATTCTCCTATCCACTGCCCAATCTCCCCCTTTCACAGCGGAACTTCTCAGAAGCATGAGCCACATTGCCCTCTCCATTTACGAAGCTACTCAGTCCTATAGTCGTGAGCACGGCTCACCCTCCATCTAGTCACGAGACATAAACAGTTTCCATGCCACTGTATCACTGGGGCGCGGGGCATGAGTGTCTCCCAGGCCCAGGGAGCCACGTGACCTGGGGGCCCGAAGCCTCCCTCCCCTCGATACCAGGCTTCCCCGAAGTCTCCCTCCCCTCGATACCAGGCCTCGGCCTTTCTCTGCTCCCCTTCGCGCTCTCCAGCCTTCCCCCCCAGCTCTCTCCTCTCCCCTCTGACCACCTCACCCAGGCTCAGCCTCCAGTCACCACCATACCCTGGGGACTCGCACGTCTCTCTCCAGACAAGACCTCGCCCTGGCCTCTGAGCTCCAGGTTGCAGACCCAGCTGTTTACTTGAGATCTGTCTCCTCAAGGATGTTCCAAAGACAGCTCGAATGTAATATGCATAAGAACTCAACTCCTGGTCTTTTAAAATCTGTTCTAAACTTTCATAAAACACTAAAAATAAGTTATTTTGAAAAAGCAAAACAGAGGGCCAGGCACAGTGGCTCACGCCTCTAACCCCAGCACTTTGGGAGGCCAAGATAAGAAGGTTGCCTGATCCCATGGGTTCAAGACCAGCCTGGGTAACTTGGTGAGACCGCATCTCTACAATAAATCAAAAAAATTAGCCAGGCATGGAGGCGCGTGCCTGTGGTTCCAGCTACTTGGAAGGCTGAGGTGAAAGGATCACCTGAGTCAGCAGGTCGAGGCTGCGGTGGCCGGGAGCGTGCCACTGCCCTCCAGCCTGGGTGACAGAGTGAGACTCCAACTCAAAAAATAAATAAATAAATAAATGCAAAACAGAAAATGTATTAAATGTCTCAATATAAATTGTAGTTGAGGAAAGTAATGTATTTCTAAACCATTATAGATAGGAAGAATTGTAAACTCAGTAAAAGTAACCAGTATCACTTCTAAAAGATGCAAACGTTTAAATATGTTTTAGGCTTTTTAAAAAAGTCTAATCAGATCAGCACAGCAGAATTTATTTTTGTTTTTATTTATCATTCATTCATTCTTTGGGTCAGGGTTTCATTCTATCACCCAGACTAGAGTGCAGTGGCACAACCATGGCTCACCACAGTCTCGAACACTTGGGCTTTGGCGATCCTCCTGCCTCAGCGTCCCAAGTACCTGGGACTACAGGCACGAACTACCATGCCCAGCTAATTTTATTTTTTTTGTAGTGACAGGGTCTCGCTATCCTGCCTAGGCAGCTCTCAAATTCCTGGGCTCAAGCAGCCCTCCCTACTTTTCCACAAGCACCTTGGAAAGCTGCCTCAAGTTTAAGCTAGTAAGAATACAAAGTTCGATCACTGGGCCTATTCTCTTACAATATACTATTCTAGGGCTGACTTTACAAAGACTTTAGAATAAAAGTATACACATAACTTCCTGGAACATCACTTCTTATTCCACATGTCTAGATGCACTGTATGTTAGATTGCAACCTCCCAAGAAATAATTCTATATGGAAAGGCTAAATATAACCTAGTCAAATGATGGAACTAGTGTTCATCAACAACAGCGCTATAGCCCCAAATGTCAAATGACCTGTGCTAAGTCAACCAAGACTTGAGGGGTGGTCTTTACTCTGCTGTGCCCAAGTCAAGTAAACCATGATAATTGAGATTGTCACATTTCCTACGTAACACACACACACAACCACATGCTGCACCAACAATATAAGCAAACAAAACAACTTATCTTCATTAAAGTAAGAACAGCCGTAGCAAAAATGCTACCTACTCAACTTTCACTTATGAGCTAGAAGATATTAAAATCTGAAGCAACTAGTTGTTGATGAATGTGTCCTTCAATAAATACCAGGTTTCCATTTATAGTGATAGTATACATGTAATATTTTCTTATTAAATACAACTAGATTCCACTTAAAATAATTACTTCTGCTTTGTCTTCCAAAGGAAAAACAAAATATGGCATAAAAGCTTGTGTTAACAGGTCACACCACTTTTTTTCTTTTTTAATGCAATTCTAAAATCATTCAAATGGCTTTAATATGGTTACTGAAGAATTAAATAGCATAATTTCATTTTTCCATGCTTGGGTTCAAGTAGAAATAAAAGATTAGTGAGTTATGATTCAAAAGTGTGGTTAGAAATTAATTTGTACACAACAATTATATTCAAACAACCTAGGGCATGACATATTAGTTTGTAAAATGGCAAAACTAAACATTAATTCGTATAACAAAGAAAGCAAATGGTATAATAAACTATTTCATGGTTCTTTATTGTTTTCTGAAGAAAAGGATTTTTATTCCCCCACAATCCTGTATTTAAGTACATTTCATGTCCATATATACTCAGAGGACCTTTTTATATCAACCTAAAATTTTCTCTGACACGCTGTCTCTTAAATGATAGCAGAAAGTTGTTAAATACCAGTCAATTACACTTTGTTGCAGAAATCATTTCAATATTTATTATTCCCCTAATGTGCCGCTTCTATGAAATTACTTGGTCACAGTCCAAATTTTATTTCCATGAAAAACTGTCACTGCATGACTACTACTCTGCCATGCAAAGTATATTAGAATTTTAATTAAATTAGATTTGATTTAATCATATTTATGTTATTTCATCATACTAGCTTCTAGAGATATAGCAAAGTCTACTCAGATTGAAACAACATTTTTACAACAAAACTTAAAAAAGGATGTCTTTCTCTTACTTAATGTTTAAGAAATAAATGGTCAAAGACCTTCACATTTTACTTTAATTTAAATGGTTTCTTCAAAAGATATAACTTCCAAATGCCAATGCACAGTTAAAGATTTTGGTATTTCCAAAGTTACTAAAATCTTTACAGACACCTTTTCTTAAGAATAATAAAGTATGATACAGATACAAAATAAGCCTTAAAAAAATACCTGAGAGGTCTTGCCTGGGGATTGCCTGCTTCTACATATGGATGTAAATAATCCTTTATGTAGAGATCAGCAGCACTATTAGAATGGGTGCAAATGAGAATCCTGCTGAAATAAATGGTGCAAATAAAAAGAATGACAAAACACAAAACTATTCAAGCAGTATAACACCAAAAAAAAGCAGTGGCCACTTAATATTATACAGTTCCCTCAACCTACTCAGTAATCCCTAACGTTATTTAATTACGCCTTTACAAAACTACATTACTTTTTAAGCTAAAAAAGAAGTTTCCCCCAAATTATTTTAAACTCTATCATATAAAATATGTATTTCTAAACCCAACTCTTTTGGCTTTAAGAGATATCACCATTCCTTAGCACACCTGAAGTTTTGATGGCTATTTAAAAATTATCATCGTCTACATTGTCAATTTTTTTAAAACAGTATGTTTTAAGACAATTTAAGTTTTAGTGCTCTGTGGTTTGGGTTTGGGTTTTTTTCTTTCTTTCTTTCTTTTTTAAGAGCTGGATGAAACTGTCTTGTTAGCCCTTGTTTTGTATTTAAAACAAGAACAGAGGGCGTATCTTGCTAGTGAAATATGAGCACACATCCACCCTCTCACCTAGTCTCCTGCTGCTGCAGAATATGTCTGACGGCCTGAGCTACGGTGAACGTCTTGCCTGTCCCATAGGGTCCAATGATAAGCACAGGTGGCAGCTGTATTGAGAGCGGAGTGGTGATGGCCAGAACAGCCTCCTTCTGTTTTGCATTTAGTCGGGGATCCAGCTGCTCATCCCATTGTCTATGGAAAATAAAGATTTAAGAAAAACACATGCATCTCATGAATGAACAGAGCACGCCAGACAAGTCTCCTGAATTTCAGTGAACTACTTTAGCCAGTGAGGTAACACAGCATCTATAAAAACCAGTGCTCATCCTAAAACTGCTTTTCAGAAAATCGCAGCCAGGTTCAGTGGCTCAGCCTATAATCCCAGCGCTTTGGGAGGCCAAGGTGAGTGGACTGCCTGAGCCTGCGGGTTCGAGACCCGCCTGGCCAACTTGGCAAGACCTCATCTCTACAATAAATCAAAAATTAGCCGGGCATGGTAGCGTATGCCTAAAGTTCCAGCTACTTGGAAGGAGGAGGCGGAAGGATCGCCGCAGCCCAGCAGGTCGAGGCTGCAGTGGCCGGGAGCAGCCACTGCACTCCAGTCTGGGTGACAGAGTGAGACTCCAACTCCAAAAAAAAAAAAAACAAAAGAAAATGACGCAACAGTGTCAGTGTTGAGATTTCTACCAAGCAAATCAAAACTACCTTTATCTTGTCCTAAATCCCAAGTACAACAAGATTTTTATAACTAATCTAAAGAAATCACACACTTCTACTCTACTGCTGCCAAGTAAGTAGTAATGGCAATGTTTCAAAAATGCCAATTCTGTCTGTTACATAAAAGCATCAGAAAACTTTCTTCTGACAGTAACACTTTTCATAACAAGTAAAATGGAAGAGAGAAACTAACTGAACTTCAAATTCTAATCCATTGAAAGATCTCCTAATAAGGTTTAAAACAAGAGGAAAAGAAAAAACCTGTTTGTCCCTGGTTAAGAGATAACAAATTTTTTAAAAGATCTTAATTTAGAAAATAATTTCTTTTTAAGTATCAAAAGTTTGGCTAGGCACAGTGGCTCACGCTTGTAATCCCAGCACTTTGGGAGTGGGAGGTGAGAGGGTTGCCTGAACGCATGGGTTCAAGACCAGCCTCGGCAACATTCAAGACCTCTAGAATAAATATTTTTTAAGTATCAAAAGCCAAACAAAATGTTTTCTAATATTTTCACATAAACACGCATACACACACGAATAATATGCATATCTATTTTTCAGAGGAGGGAACACCTGTCACAGCAGCGCAAGTGGCTACTGTCATGAGATCTATCTTACTAGTATCCCTTCCATGACTTGGCTAAGTTTCGAAGATTTAAATGGACAGCACATGATGGAACAGATCAAACCAAGTAGAGAATCAACAGCATTCTTTCTCACAACTACAATTCAATACTAAAAATCGCAACAACTATGGCAAAAATAATAGGGATATGAAACAAAATAGGAAGGGAGTGTAAGGAAAATCTTACAAAATTTGCAAAGTACCTGCAAAATAATCCTGAAATAGAAGCAGAGTTTAGACAGGAAAATTCCCTCTCTGTGAGAGTACACTCAAATCAGAAGCTGGTTACTTATGGCAAATAACGCCATCAGATTTTTAAAAAAATATAACTAATGTTATGACAGATAATCCGAAACCCACATTCTTCCTAAAAAATGTAAAAACTTAGAAAACAATCTTGATCATATAAACATGCTGCTACTTATTTTTCTGAAGATAAAAATGTTTTTTAAGTTTAAAAAAAAGACTGAGCAGTGACACTAGATTTTTTTGCAAACCATTCACTAAATCTCAAGCGTTTTACCCTCAAAGGATCCCTCAGCATTAGCCAGCTTATTTACTCATAATTCTGCCAGTACCTAGCAATGTTCCATCTTCTGTAAATGAGAAAACTGTATTAGGTGATCGCCAGGTTCAGACCTAATGTATGTGGCAAACACTGAGGAACGGCTATGCCAAAACCTTCACAGCACCCCAGCCCCTCTGCCGCCTTCTAGCCTAGCCCGCTATGATGCTCCATTTCCCAGACTTCTTTGCCAAAGACCCAATTCTGGTTATCTAGATGCAGGAAGAAGTCTCTGAGAAGGGCTTCTATGTCCAATAAAACAAAAACAAGGCCTCATTTGTCATAATTTTTTAAAAACCAGAGAAAGTCCTTCTTGCTCCTTAACCATCTCCCTCAGCTGACTGACACAAACTGGAAGTAAATAAAACTACAGCTGTCACTAACAACCATGAGGCAACAAGCATCAAGAAACCCAACAAGCTCTCCATGGCAGAGAGAACGAGATGTGTATTCTTGACAGCACCACTGAGTCTCTACACAGCACCACATCCTCTACTACTGAGCTGATAATTCTACTTTTTAAAACCACAGTTAGTTCAGTACACTATTACTTGAACCCATACCTGACCACTATGATTCTATAATGCCTGCCCAAAGGATTCTTCATCGGCTCATGAAGATAATGACATTGGCACACACGGTTATTTTAAAGATCAAATGAGATGATACATGTAAAGCTGATTAGAAAAATGACTGAGCTGCTCATGGACTGACAGAATCAATATTGTCATGATGTTCATCCTACCCAAGGCAATCTACAAATTCAATGCAATACCCATTAAATTACCAACATCATTCTTCTCAGACCTGGACACAACAACACAGAAATTCATACAGAAACAAAAAAGAACATGAATAGTCAAAATAATCCTCAGCAAAAGAAACAAGGCAGGAGGTATCGTGCATCCAGACTTTAAACTTTACTATAAGGCTGCAATAATCAAAACAGTCTGGTATTGGAACGAGAATAGGCCTACAGACTAATGGAACAGGATAGAGATTCTGGAAGCAAAAACTCAATATCTTAATAAACTCATCTTGACAAAGTCATCAATAACAACCACTGGGGAGAAGAGACCTTATTCAACAATTGGTGCTTGGAAAACTGGCTGACCACATGCAGAAAAATGAAACAGGACCTCCACTTATTGCTATATACAAAAACCAACTCTAAATGGATCAAAGACCTAAGTGTAAAACCTCAAACTTTAAGAAATTTAGAAGAAAGCACAAGAGACACCCTTACACACATTGGAGCAGGCAAGCAATTCTTGGTCATAACCCCAAAAGAATATGCCAGAAATGATAAGATAGACAAATGAAACTTCATCAAACTGAAAAGTTTTTGCACAGCAAAAGAAACCATCAAGAGAGCAGGGAGATAAGCCACAAAATGGAAAAAATATTTGTTGACTACATATCTGACAAAGGCATCCAGGATTTACAAGGAACTCAAACGAGTTGCAAGGAAAAAAACAAACAATCCTATTTTAAAATGGGCAGGGGACATGAATAGACACTTCTCAAAGAAGATACATGAGCAGCCAACAGATACATGAAAAAATGCTCAGCCTCACTAATCATCAGAGAAACGCAAATCTAAACCACACTGAGATACCACCTTACCCCTGTAAGACAACAGATGCTGGTGCAGGTACGGAGTAGCGTAGATGCTCCTACACTGTTGGTGGGAGTGCAAGCCAGTCCAACTTCTACAGAAAATAGTATGACAATACTTAAGAGAACTAGAAATAGACCTTGCATATGATCCAGCAATCCCCCTTCTAGGAATATACCCAGAGAAGCAAAAATCGTTCTACAAAAAAGATACTTGCATAGGCATGTGCACTGCTGCACTATTCACAATAGCAAAAACATGTAACCAACCCTACTGCCCTTTGAAAGTAGACTGGATAAAGAAAACATGTATATATATATATATACACACACACACACACACACACACAATGGAATACTGCGCAGCCACAAAGAAGGACAAAATCATGAACTTCTCAGCAAATTGGATGGAATTTGAGATAATCATTCTTAGCAATCTATCACAGAAACAAAGAACAAAAAAACACAAGTGTTTACTCAAAAGTGAGACCTGATCATTACAATGGCACAAGGAAGGGATGGGCAGTCTCAGGACACT